AGGCATGTGCCCTGATTGGGAATTGAACCTGTGACCCTCTGGTTCACAGGCTGGTGCTCAGTCCACTGAGCCACACCAGCCAGGGCCCAGTCTCTCAGATCTTTAAATGGCCTTTCCTTGCCAGTACAATCACCTGCTAGCCTGCCCCATAATTTCTTAGTTTTCAGAAGAATCAGAGGAGATACCGTTAATTGTAATGATACAGTATTTATTCGTGTCGTTCTCTGGTTTGGGAGCTTTCTATACCTGTCCTTGCTGCTCCTCCTCCTCCTGGGACTGTATATTTAATCCTTTCACTGCTAATTTGCATTTCTGCCAGAGGAAGAGGAAGTCTTTAATTAGAGTACTTCATCTGGTGAGGTTGAAAATCAGTTTGCTCTGCTCCTAGATTATGATATACTCCTATAGCCACAGGGCCTTTGCACGTGCTTTTGCTACACCTGGAATGTTCTTGGCACTACCTACCCACAGTGGGCATAAATAAGTGCCACGAGTACAAGTAATACTAAAATTGTCTGTGTAGTTTCCATAGTCCAGAAATCTCAGGGACTCTCTAAGCAAGTCCAAAGAAAAGATCCTGTATGGTTTTGAATATGTCTCTTCAGCCCAAGGGTACCCTGTAATAATAAGACTTACTAATGAGAGGGTTTAAATTTCCTTCTAAATTGTGCTGGTTGCCTCCTAGAGAAGAAAAAGCCTGAGGTGTATTGGTGGCTGCTGTATTTTTAACCTGCCTATTGACTTTCAGTCTCTAGACTGGAGCTGGTTACAGACGGAGGAAGAAGAGCAGAATAGCTTGGAGCAGGCCTCGTGACCGTGTGGGTGGCCTTGACCACCTGATGGGGCTGCCTGGCCGGAGGTTCTTCCACACTGGCCCCTGCTACATAGATGTCCCAGCATCGTCAGCACCGGGGTGGAGACCTTCGCACTTCTTCCACAGTTGTGGCATTGACCGTGGACCAAGGGTGTGGCCCTACGTGAGCACTGCCAACAACTTGTCCGTACACTGGAAGTCCTCCATCCCAGAGGCCAGCAAACATGGATGCCAGGCACAAGCATTAGGGAGACTAGACCAAACCACCAGCTCCTTCCTCTGCTCTGGAAAAAAGTGCTCAAGTACAGTTGCCACAAAGACCACTGGACAAATGTCTAACATGAATTTTTCAGGACAAGGTATGAACAGCACTTGGTGCCAGCCTGTCATCTCCTGAGCCCTCCTGATCTCCAGAGCCCCTGACCCCGATGTCCTCACAGTTGGATTTGGCTTCTCCTGAACAGACTTTTATATCATGCATTTGGCCTGGTCCCATCCTTTCTCTTCCTCTTTTCATTTCACTGCTGCTAAAATTTTCTTTTTACCTACACTTTGGTGGTTATTCTCACTTTGGCAGGGTTGCAAATGCAAGCTCCCCATGTCTGTAGTTCTTTAAGCCACAGAGTGACTCACTAGAACGAGGATGGAGGAGCAATGCCCTTCTTTTGGGTCCCAAAGATAACTTGGGAGTGTGTTTTCATGCAGAAGAAGGAAAGAAGAAAAGGTTACCTGTCAACCACTGGCCTGCTGACCACAATGCTCACACCTCCTGTCCTTGCTGACACATCTGTGTGTGTGGTGGTGGTGGGACAGGGAGTCCGTCTCTGCATCTCATGTCATCTAGCAGTATTAAATTGTTTTATTTAAAAAACCTGTTTCTATATCTTCTAATATGACTCAAGCACTTATACTGGGTTTCACAATCCATTTTACAGTACCTTTGGTTAGGATTTATGAACTCATAATCCAACTTAAAAAGAAATTTTGTAAGATGGGATAGTGCCTTTATTAAACAGTGCTATAGCACTAGTACTGCCTCTTTGACATTTTATAAAACTTCGCCTTTATATAAAAGCAGGAAAGCAGAATGAGTTCAGATGACAAAAACGAGTTTGGTTGAAAAATCAAGTTGTAACAGAAGTTTCACAAAATGGCTTCCATGAAAATACTACAGAAGGGTTTCATGGTCAAGTAAGTTTTGGTAATGCTTCATGCTTTAATTGCCTCTTAGAGCCACACTGTACACTGGTATATTAAAGTAAGCAGGTTTTTGAGTAACATTTCATTCAATGTCATTTCGCTATAATGTTGATGAGATACTATAGGAACTTAGCTCTTACTTATATCAATTATCCTATGGTAAAATTGGTTTCATTATGTATCTTTTTGCTTGAAGCTGCAGAACCTATTAACAATATTTTGTTACTATCACAATTTGTTGAAATGGTGACATATCTTAGGGTTCATCAATTTATTTTGGTTTGCCAGAACTTTCCTGGTTTTAGCCCAAAAAGCTCTGTAGCCCAGGAAACTTCTCAGTCCCTGCCAACCTGGTACAATCAGCCTTCTATATCATGATGTGTCCATATTTAACAAGCACTTGTTGAGCACCTCTATCTGACCAACAAAAATTAACTCCTTACTTTCATGGGGCTTACATTGGTGGGAAGAGGGGTAGGGCAAGGAGTAGATAATAGGCAAATAACATGTGTAAGTTTCAAATAGTTTCAATGCTACGCAGAAAACAAAACATAATAATGGATAGAGTGCGCCTAAGTGTTGCTCAGGGAGGTGACAACAATGTGACTACTGGGTTGAGATTTGAATGGTGGGAAGAAGGCAGCCCAGGCAAAGGCCTGAACTGAGGGAAGACCCCTGAAGCAGGTACCTGTGAGCAGTAAATTCTGTTTACTAAACAAAGGGAAAAATAGGAAGTAGGAGAGATCATAGAAGATAAGTCACATTAGGCCTTGTAGGCCATGGAAAGGAGTGTGGATTTTATTCTAACTGCAATGAGAGGATATTTAAGCAAGTGAATGACACATTCTGATACACGTTTTTCAAAAAAAGGAAAACACTCTTATCCTGCTTGGAGAGAACAAGAGGAGAAGCAGGAATCCCATCGAAGAGGCTATGGCAGTAATTGGGGGGCAAGATCATGGAGCAGGCCCTAGGGTGGTGGCAGTGGAGGTGGTGAGGGGTAATCCAGTTGAGAATATATATTTTTGGAGACAGATCAGACAAGACTTGCTGACAGATTGGTGTGCAGGGTGAAAAGAGCAATTAAGAATGACTCCTAGGGTTTTTGTCTGATGGCAGGGTACATTCAAGTATCATTAACTAAAAAGCAACCAGCCAAATGGGAGATATCTGCAAACAACAGCTCCCACACGGTGTTAATAAATAAAGAACTCATACAACTCAACACCAAGCAAACAATCCAATTTAAAAAAATGGGCAGAGAACCTGATCAGTGACTTCTCCCAAGAAAACATACAAATGGCCAACAGATATATGAAAAGATGCTCAACTTCACTAGCTATTAGGGAAATGTAAATCAAAACTACAATGAGATACCACCTCACAACTGTTAAGAGTGGCTACTATCAACAGAACAAGTAAAAAGGGTTGGAGAGATTGTGGACAAAAAAGGAACCCTCACTCACTGCTGGTAGTAATGTAAACTGGTACAGCTACTATGGAAAACAGTATGGCAGTTCCTCAAAAAATTAAGAATAGAGCTACCATATGGTCCAGCAATCCCTTTTCTGTCTATTCGAAAAACTTGAAAACATTTACTTCAAAAATATATGCACCCCTATGTTCATTGCAGCACTATTCACAGTGGCCAAGGCATGGAAACAACCAAATTAATCTTTGATAGATGACTGGATAAAAATGTGGTACATATATACTATGAAATACTACTCAGCCATAAGATGAAATACTGCCATTTGTGACAACATGGATGGACATTGAGAATATTATGCTAAATAAGTCAGAAAAAGCTAAGAACCGTATAATTTCTCTCATATGTGGGATATAAAACTGAAACTCATAACAGTATGGTGGTTACCAGAGTGAAAGAGGTAGAGAGTAGTTAAGAGTAAAGAGGGTCAAATATATGGTGATGGAATATGATTTGACTTTGGGTGTGGGCATACAACACAATATACAAATCATGTGTCATAGAAATGGACACTTGAAACCAGTGTCACCCCCAATAAACTAAAAACGGTGCCATTAACTAAGATAGGGAGAAGTTAAGGAGAAACTAGTGGAGCAAGAATCGAGTTCTATGGGACATTTTATGTTTGAGGTGCCTATTATGGACAATTAGAGATAGCCAGTAGGCAGTTTGATATATGGTACTTAAGAGCTCACAAGAGATCAAAGCTAGAAATACAGATTTAGGAACCTTCCACCTAGACATGGTATCTAAGAAGGTGAAACTGAACAAAGTGGAAAAGCTGGTTAGAAGATCAAGGCCAGAGGCACTTTGCCATGGAGGCTGGAGAGTGGAGGAGGAGCTGGGAACCAACACACACACAAAATCCAACAAACTTGAGGAGTGGTTACTATAGAAGAGTAAGAAGGAAAACACAGAGAATGTTCTATTTTAGAAGCCAATTGAAAACATTATCTCAAGAAGAGAGTGGTTAAGTGGATCAGATGTTAATGGTTGGTCCAAAAAGAAAAGGGTAGAAAATTGATCATCTCCCTTGGGTTTTCTGGCACTGTTTTTATTTTTTAAAGTTGACGTGATACTCATATAAAAAATGATCCCACAATTCCCCAGAGTTTAACATTCATTATTCAGAGGTGAATAAATAATGAAGAATGATCATTCTTCAGAACAAAATAATATGAATATAGCCTGGAATAGAGATGGATAGAAAATGAACAGAAAAAATGAACAGAAAAAAACTAAGATCCACTTTTTGTTCCAAAAAATCTTTAAACATCTTATTAAAGAACATCTTATTAAAGAACAGCTACTTTAGAAACTAAAGACATTCAAGCACTATCTATTCATAGCTTCTACACAACAAAGAAGTTAACATCAAATGGACAAAAAATAGTACAAAAGACCGATAGATTTTAAAAATCCATTTGTAGAAAGCAGGTCAGATGGACTCAAAGACCTCCTGAATATAGGAAGTAATATAAAACCTTCTGTTGGGGCATAAAGGTAGGAGCCAGTCCATCCAGTCAAGGAACAGTTTTTTGCCTCTTGGTCTAAATGCTTGCTTCTATCCTGGGTTCAGAGAAAGGTCCTGATCATTTGAACTGATTGTCAATCAATGTCCCCTTCATTTTCACCTTCTTAGCTTCCAGTTCAGCCAGCTCTTGCAGCTGCTTTTTGCTCATGCCTTTGCGTTCCAGCTGTTTTTCAATCACTTTGGCATTCTGCGCATATGAGTCAGCAACTTCCCTAGCCTCAATCTCCTCTTCCTCTTCATCAATAGTAGACACAGTGACAGAGCTGAACTTGCCCATATCTTTAGTCCGTTTGGTCACCATCACCTTCTTAGGAGGCTCTTGCTTCTGAGTATATATATTCATTTTCCCTAAACCCTGGCCAAACTTGACTACTGCTCCCTCTACAATGAAGGTCACGGGAGCATTCTTCGGCTGGGACTGGTAGAAGAGTGGCAGTCCACACTTTGCACACTTCTTCCTGTACTGTCGTTCAATGCCTTCAGGCCTGCGAACATACATAGTCTCCTGGTCTTCTGTGTTACAAAACTTGTGGGCGTGTTTGGCAGCATCAATCACCCGGGACCGATCCCGGGGTCTCATGGGCAATTTCTCCAACTGACAGTCCAGTACCAGAACCATCTGGCCACACAAACAGTAGTAGATGTGGAGGGGTTTCTCGCTGTCCTCATATTCCTCCCGGTCCCGGGTGTAGGAGCAGACAACTGACCTGGACACAACTTTAGGCATAGTTCACAGAGTAGGCCCACAAACTCAATGCTAAATGAAGGGTCCAGATGACTCACTTCTAATTGAAGGTGGGGATCAAAGTGTGAAGAAGCTTCAGAATAAAGGAAAAAGGCAATGGATAAGAAACAAATACAAATATTTACAAAAACCATTCAAATACAGTGTACAGAAAGGGTTAGGAGTAATATATTAAAAATCTAGCAAATTAATAGATACATACCCCATTAGAAAAATGGACAAAGTATATAAATAGGAAATTCACAAAAGAATACAAATGTCCAATAAGTATAACTTGATATACACTGACATTGTAAACATGAAAAACATAACCAAGCACAACCTAATCAAAGAAACTATATCTAAAGCATTATTCCCTTATTAAAATATAATGGGAATTTTAGAAGAACTGGATTAGAAGATGGAAATATATGTTCCAAAATATTAATAGTAATTAAGGTAGATGGTGAGATATTGATTTTAATTTTCTCCTTTTATACTTTTTTCTGATTTTTCTACAGCCAATCATGTATCACTTTGTAATAAGCTTTTAATTTTATTTACAAAGTAGTTGCCTGAAATGTGGCAGTTTAATATGAACCCCAGGAGTTAACACTTGTAAAGTATTGCTGATGTCACATTTTCATTTCTCAAGCAGAACTAAGTTTCTCAGGTATAGGTCATCGTGTTGTAATGAGAGTTTAGGTTAAGCACTTCTCCCTTTCCAGCGGCTTTTTCACTTTGGTCCCTACCGCAAAAGCCAGGGGAATAAAAAACGTTTTATATAGGAGGCTTTCCTATTACCGGCATATTTCATTCCGGGCTCCTGCTGCCGGCAGTACAGGAGTACGCCAGTGCACTGTGGACTGCAGTATATTCTTACATAAAGTTTTGACAGTACGTATGACCCTGGTGTTGCCTCAAATCACATATAAAATACATCATGAATTCAATAACTATTGTGCACACAAACTGTGCGCAGTCTTCAGTATTCATCTCCCATCCCACCGCCTTATAGACCCTGCCATCTTAAGTTCTGACTTCAGCGTGAAAATCCGGGCTCCAATTTTTCCCCTTCTAGCTAGAGGATTTCAGAGAAACGTACTGGGAAAAACGTACAGATATGTCTTAACTTAGAAATCCAGGTGTTCCTAAGAAACCCCAAGGGGATGTAGTTCTGAAGTGTCTACCTTCTTCCTGCCAACTCCAAGTTGCAGGTCTCCTGCACCCTCCCGGTTCGGTTCCCTTGTCTCACACCCGGAAGTCGCGCCGCCGTAGCCCAGCTCCGGCACCGCCTCCTGTCGTGACGTCACCAGGCGCGCCTTGCGCCGTGCGCCGCGCCCCCTGTCAGAGGCAGCCATTGTTCAGCGGCTGGCGCCGGCTGTTCGGGGACTGGGCTGGTCCTACTTCCCCTCTCCAAGTCCCTGCCCCTCCTTAAAGGTGGGAGAGGGGGGCCAGTCCCTGGGTCTGTGCACTCTGAGGTTCTCGGGTGAAGGCCACCATGAGTAAACGGAAGGCGCCACAGGAGACTCTCAACGGGGGAATCACCGACATGCTCACAGGTTAGCACCGGACCGGGGGCCTCTGGCTTTCTTCTCCCCAGCCCCCACCCCAAATTGCTTTCCCTACCCTCTCTCCGGTCCCGATAGCCCAGTGAGTGGGATTGGCCCCTCGCAGCGAGTAGTCTTCCGTGTGGATCTTCTTTCCGCGCCCGTGGCCAGCGGCTGATTGTCAGCACTGCTGGGGACTCTCTGTCACCTCTTGGGCTGCCTTTGGCCTGGCCCGTTTATGAGTCGGGGGTCACCATCCTGTAAAAGGCTGTTCCGTGTCCTTACGGGAAACTCAGTTCTCGTTTGCTTACTCGTGGTCTTGTTCACCCGAGTCTCTTGTTGCCTTTTCAGAACTCGCAAACTTTGAGAAGAACGTGAACCAGGCGATCCACAAATACAATGCTTACAGGTGGGACGCTGCGGCAGTCTCTGGGAGCATGCATTCTGGGATGTGTGGCAATTAAAAGGGCTGACGGGCCAGTGGATATTTGGACCACCTGCAGGAGGAGGAAAAAAAAAAAAAGCAAGAACCGAGGGTATTGACTCTGTGGTAGTGCTTTACTGCAATCTTTCTGGGAGAATATGGGCAGAGCACTGTAGGATCAATTCTGATCAGTCCCCAATTCTGACTGAAAATAGGCTGATTATCTCTCATCAAACATGAATTACTGAAAATACAGTTTGATTTTAAGCCATAATGAAAGAAGGTGAATGAGGTCTGTGCTGTGAAATAGGTGTGGTTCGGGTAATCACATTTTTCCATCTGGTTCATCTGTGTCTTATCCTGTCACCTTTTTGGATCTCATCCTCGTTCATCTCACCAGGGGCCTTAAACTAGGCGTTATTCCTACATCGATCTGCTTTTGATGTTTAGCTTATAAACATGTCCAAATCCCTTAGCTCTTAAAAGCAAAAACAAAGCAATTTTCTTAACTTCCCCTTTCCTTCACTATACAGTTAACCTTCTTGAATAATCTGTGTTCCTTGCCTGGACTTCCTAATTCTTAGTCATTTCTAATCTCATTGCAGTAAAATTTCCCTTCTCCCATTCCTCTGAAAATGCTCTCGCCTGCATCTCATCTTATTGGACCCTCAGTGGCATTCACTGCTAGCTCATTCCATTCACATCTTACCCCTGACTTCTGTGATGGTGCACCTCCTGCTCACCTCTCCTATCTTACCTTTTAATGTTGGTACTTCCCAGAGGTCTGCCCTGCACTGTCTTCTCTCACTTTCATACTTTGCCTGGCAATCTTCCTGTTCTTGGTGGCTTTGGATACAGGTTATGTCAGTGACTCCAAATCTCACTGGGCTTTTCTCCAGATTTTTATGTCTCTATTCCCTTTATCTTTACCTTTTCAAAATTAACCAAACTCAGCTCCCTCCTTCCCTGCCCAACCAGACAGCATAATTCAAAAATGATTACATTTTCTCTGTTACCTCCTATGATTTCCTCTGTAGAGTAGTTGTTCTTTTATCCATGCATTTGATCTAGAAATCAAAGAGATATCCAACCCTATAATTTCAGTCACGTCAAGTTTCCGAGAGAAAATATTTAGTCTTGAATAAACCCTTCAAGGGATAAGTGAGGGGAAGAACAATCTATAGATAGGAAACAAAGTGTGCCAAAGCTTTGAGACATGAAGCGGGTGTGGCATTTTCTAGTGAGTCAGTAATTTTGCTAAAGGGTTATGGTCTGGAAAAGCAGGCAACACTCCTGCATGTGCCTCCCTTTCCTGATACATATTTCTCTTGATTGTAGCCAAAATATTCTTTTGAAAATAATTATGTTATCTTGTCATTCATCGATATCAAGTAATTAAATATATCTTCTTTGCCTTGATAGTCTAAATGCATTGTGGCATACAAAAGGCCTTTCACAATCTATTCTTCCTTTTCAGGCTTTTCCCCATAGTGCCATTTATCTAGAACCACTTGCCTTTACTGCAACAATTTCCTCCACAAACTGCCCTCAACCTGCCTTTCCAGACTCATCATTAGTATTATGCTAATATATAAGTTGAAATCCCAGTCTAAACATTAGTATGTGGTAGGTAGAATGAAAACCAAGACTCCAAAGACTATCCAGTATTTGTGCTTTAGACTTAGATGTATTATGGCTATTTATCAGCATCACATAAACCATATTTATCATTGAAATTATGGACAGGATACCATCAGTGTGCTCCCAGGGTATACCCAACCCGTCACCGGACTACTGAGCTGGGTATGTGTAGAGATGGGCAGGAATCACAGGTCATTTTGACTTACATGGAACTGAAATGGGAGCAATTAAAAAAAAAAGAATTGGTATTAAGGGGAATGTAGTTTAAAACCACGAATTTAAAAATAGCCATCCATTAGTCAGTTGGGTATCTAGAAGTCAGAATACTACTGAGTGGCACATTTTTATAAAAGGGAGTTATGAATAATTTCTAAAAACTAGCTATTAAAAATGTTCCAATTGTATTTTCCACTTAATCCCCAAAAGGAAATGCTACTGTTTCTTGAATCTCCCTAGTTTTACATATGCGTTAAAATCATATTATTATCTTACATGAAGATTTTCAAGATAATTTCTAAAAGCTAGAGAGATGGGTGGCCTCTCAGCTCATTTGTGTTTTTAATAAGTTTTACACCGATGTGGAGAATTATCTCGATGAAAGGTTAAACTGCATGTTTGCTTGTGTGTGTATTCCAGTTTAAGAAAAATTAAGACCTTGCTAGATTTCTAATTTCTTTTTTTTTTCTTATAGAAAAGCAGCATCTGTGATAGCAAAGTACCCACACAAAATAAAGAGTGGAGCGGAAGCAAAGAAATTGGTAAGTTGAGTGAGCAGGTTGACTGAAGAGTTCATATCTGTACAAATTTGGTGGGTTCCCATAAAAACGAAATTTGCCTCTTTGAAGCTGCCTTGACCCACACAGGCAGATTTCACTGTTACTGATTTCTTGGAATAATATTTATTCTGTTTCAAGCATACTTTTTCAAGCCTGAAGTGTATTGATGGAGGCGGGATGGGTTTAAAAATAGGTAATTACAATTTTGTTTCTGTGCTTTCTCCATATGTGCATGCACTTACTCATTTTCAGTTTGTGCAGCCCTGAAGAAGAGTATGGTGACAGAGTGGTACCAGCATGTCTGGTCCTCAGCCTCCTTTTTCTGATCCCCAGGTACAAGAACTTACAAGACTTAGTGCTCCCAAAGAGATTTTACCTACTAATAAGCACCCGATTAAATCCCTTTGTATATTATGGCATTTAGCCCTGTCCTCTGTAATTTCCGTAAAGCCCTGAATGCTAGTGTAAGTTTCTAGAGAGTTACATCTCTTGGTAATTTGTAATAGTTAAGAATCCTGGGAAAATTTACCTGTTGTTAATCAGATTCCCTCTCATCTAAATTTCATTAAAAGATTCTAAGTTCTTTAAAATTAAAGACTTTTTCTTATTCATTTTTTCTTAAAGATGTCAAACTGACATGGCTTTTGATTAGTCAAGGTCCTGATAGTTATCATCTTTTTCTGTTCTTTATCAATTTGTGTTTCATGGAAGTCCTCTAGGTATTAATATTTGATTGTCCTTAATTTTCTCATGGGAGCCTTCAGAGTATAAACTATAACTGTCCTTATATTTGTGTCCTTCAGACTCTTAACATTACCATAAATCTTGTACTTCTTATGACTAAGTGACAGTTTATCCACATTATTCTTGTACCACACATCTTCATCTTGAATTTATCATTTAATACAACTCATGCTCTGGTGTCTAGGTTTTAAATCCTTTGTGCCATAATAGTTCTCAGCATCAATATATCCTCCCCAAATGGACTAGACAAATACATGGACTAGACATGTATTTAAAGTCTAATAAATATGTTAGATTTTAATTCTAAGTTTCTCTATTGTGAACTGGCCCAGTGTTAACCGTAGGAGTTACTTCTGATCCCACTCTGTTCCCCTTTAAGCATCACTAAATTTCCTTTTTTAATTGTGAATAGCCTGATCATTTATAAGAGGCAAAGCTTTGTCAAGCTCTGATTCGCTTCATCCCAAATCTGAGCTTACAGTATATCCCTGAAAAGAACACAGAAATGCCCACAATTTTTTTTTTTGTATAAGATTAGACTTAATATGAACATCTCATCTTTATTCCATTTCACCATTATTTTTAAACAGACCTACTTTCTGGTACATTTGACTGCTTCTCAATAATTCTAGGAGTCTGAACTTCCCAGAATGAGTATTTTGCCTTGTATTACTTAATGTTAGGTATAGAAAATAGCCGGGGCCTAAATTGGTTTAGGTCAGTATGTATCTTCGGACACACAAAACAAGAAACCTGAGCAGTTTCCCTTTTCAGATCTACTCTTACTAAGTATTTTTCATTTCTATCTGGTATTTGCTATTTTCCGAACTTAAATATGTATTCAGTAGCTTTATACTTATTAAATATTAAATAAATCAAGAATAAAAAATGGGTAAAAAAAAAGAAGAGCCCTGGCTGGTGTGACTCAGTGGATTGAACGCAGGCCTGTGAAGCAAAGGGTCACTGGTTTGATTCCCAGTCAGGGCACATGCCTGGGTTGGAGGCCAGGTGGACAGTGTGAGAGGCAGCCACATATTGATTTCTCTCCCTCCCTCCCTCCCTTCTCCTCTGCCAAAAAATAAAGTCTTTTATTTTTAAAAAAAGGAATAAAAATATAAAAAAGAAAGAAACAAAACAGACAAACCAAAAAAAAGATATAGCAGAGTGAACTTGGGGCTAAGAGACAGTAGGTAATACCTGGCACATGTGTTGTAATGCATGTTGAATATTTAATTATAAGCATGAATAAAGTTCAACTTCATGAATAATCAGAGTTGCAAATTAAAACAAGGTGGTATATAATGCCTATTAGATTATCAAGTTAATATGCTATATGACTAAAGATGTGGGAAAAAAGATACTCCTTTACTGTTGATCAAAATGTTGGTTGTTTATAGCCTTTCTGAAGTATAATGTGGCAGAATGTTGGAAAATGTCCCAGCAATTCCACTTTGAGGAATTTAAACTAAGGAAATCAGTAGAGATACACGTATACAAGGTTTAATTAATTCTTAATTTTTGAGTGCCTGTATGTCAGGTATTCATCCACATACTAGGGAGAAAGCAGTGAAAAGACAGGATTTCTGCTCTCTTGGAACTTCTATTCTGGAGCATTGCTGTCCAAAATGGTAACCATGAGCCACATTTGGCTAGTGAGTTCATGAAATGTGGCTAGTGTGACTAAGGAATTACATTTTTTACTTTGAATTAATGTAAGCTTAAAATTGTTATGTGTGGCTACTGGCTGCCATGTTGGACTGTGCAGTTCTTGAGTAGTGGTTCTTAAAGTGCAGTACCTAGACCAGCAGCTTCAGTATCATCTGAGAACTGGTTGGAAATGCAACCTATTGAATCAGGAATTCTAAGGTGGGACTGGGCAATCTGTGTTTTTAACGTATTTTCCAGGTGAGGCTGATGTATGCAAAAGCTTGAGAACTTCTGTTGTAGAGGAAGTTTATGACAACATTGTTATATATCAAAAATTGGAAACCATCTAAATGTTCACCTGTAGGGTATTTGTTTAGTAAATTATGATACATTTATACAGTGATATGTTTATGGAGCCATTAAAGATATTGTAGTTGTATTTATTCATAGGGAAATTTGTTCACAATATATTTTTAAGTTGAAAAAACACTTTATGAAGCAGTATGATTGTGTTTTTGTAAGAAAACAATATGTGTATATATAGTAAATCTACATATATAAACAAAAGTAAATATATAACAGATATTAAGTTAAAAGGTTACAGTTTAAATTATCAGAGTGATGAAATAAACAAGTGATTTAAATATTTTTCTTTAGGCAACTTTATATTTTCTCATTTTTCTACAATAAAATTTAATTTTTTAAAAATAAGTCATTTAGAATTGTTTTTGCTAGGGTTTTCTTTTGCCCGTTATATATTTAATATTTTTACTAGGACTCAATTATCTTAATCCTTTGTTTCAAAATTGGTCATGTGATGCTCACTGGTTTTTCATTTCTCATTTTGTACTTTATTTTTTAGTGATTTGGTAAGCTTTCTATTTGTATGACTTTTAAATTTTTAATTTTTTATGTAGCCCGGAGTGGGAACAAAAATTGCTGAAAAGATTGATGAATTTTTAGCGACTGGAAAATTGCGAAAACTGGAAAAGGTAAAATTTTAACTTATTTGCTTGTTTGATTTTAACGTCTGTCTTTGTGGCAGCCGTCACGCAGCACCTTTGGCAGAGTCACTCCCTCTAGTGCATAAGTCTATATGAATAAGCCTTTTAAGAATATTGGATACATTAGCGCTGAGACATCTTCAGCTGCTCTGTTATCACTTGTAACCACTGAGGTTATATACGAATACTTCATATATAGGGGTTATCCAGGCACATGTAAGTGGTTCTTCAGGTCTCTTAGCAGACTGGTATATTTCCAGTAAGATCACTTGAGTCCTCAAATCATTCCTAAATCATTGTTACGCTTTTTCTTTTTTCCTTAAAGATTCGGCAGGATGATACGAGTTCATCCATCAATTTCCTGACTCGAGTTACTGGCATTGGGTATGAACTATTTTTCTGAGCAGACACAATAGCAGGGTTGGTGTAATTTTTTTATGTCAGCCAAACTAAAGTGCATGTTGCTTCCCTTCAGAACCTGTGCCTTTCCGCCTCTGTGCCTTTGCCCATACAGTTTACTCTTCCATGGCCCACGTGGCTGAGGCTGTTCTCTACATGGTGCCACTAGTGTGGGAGCCCCATCCAAGGCCAATGTTTCCTCCTTCATCAAACCAGTTTGACTCCCCAGCCAGTAATAATCTCTTCCTCCTCTAAACTCCACTAACGCTTGCCCCGTGTACTTCCTTCTTACTACTTCCCCCAGATTCAAGCTCACTTGTCTCTGAGCATGATATTTATCTTAAGCATTAAATAAATGCCTTTCTTCCATAGCACCTAGCAGAGTACCTTATGAATTCGAAACTAGTCCTCAGGCATTTTTAATGAAGGAATCTTTATGTTAAAATTTGAACTAGCATGAAAGGAGGCTTCTTTGACACCAAAGTAAAGGTGAACATTGAAATATTAAGTCTGTAATACTTAACTCTCATCTTCGTGGAATGAGACATTTTTTAGATATATGACAGTACTTTAAGTGGCAACACTTTTATGAAAGTTACTCTAAAATGGATTAAACTTTTAAACCTAGTCTACTGAAAATGAGCTTGACCCAAGGCCATAAAAATGTTGGTTAAAAGTTGTTTTAAGGGCATCTGTTATATTGTCCCCTTTTTCCAGGCAAGAAAACTGAATACAGAAAATGAGATAACTGTGGCAGAATCAGAGTTAGAACCCACGTCTCCTGACTCCCTTTTCAGTTCTGTTTTTTCTGTCACCTTGCCTTCTTTACATGAATGTCAGTTTCTGTATCACACAGTTTCTATAAAAAGGCCCTTTGTCTTTCTAGTGTCAGTTTAAATATCATCTCAGAGGCCTTCCTTCGCCACCCAACCTAAAGTAGTACCCAGCCACTGTCATATTATCCTATTTTAATTCACCTATTGCATATTTTCTTATTTGTTTATATATGTATTTATTGTCTCTTCCCACTGGAATGTGAGTAGGTAAGACTAGGGCCCTTATTTGTGTATTACTCTATTTTTAGCACCTAGCAGTGTATCTGGTACATAATAGCCTGTCTGTCAATCTCATGAACAAATGAACAGTTTTCAAGTACCCATATGTCTTTTATGAATAAAGTGCATGGGCATTACGACACCTAACTATTTAGACATGTTTCTCATGTACAAGTTTGCGTTGTATTCGTAGACTGAGGCTTTAAGAATTCTTCTCTTTGGATGAAATTGATCATTACCAAATTAACCATGCAATTTTTAGCAAGTCTTGTTCAGCTTAATAATAACCCTTCATGTTTGACAAGAGAAGACAAAATTGGTTATTTGTTCCAAGAATCCAGAGTTTTCCTGGCTATTGAGATAACACGTTTCTTTCTTTCTAGTCCATCTGCTGCAAGGAAGTTTGTAGATGAAGGAATTAAAACATTAGAAGGTGAGTTTGTAATTCCAGGTTAAATGTGGTCCTGATAGACTGTTAAATGCTCTAACAAACTAAAACTTGAAAAACTGTTTCTCAATTAGTAGATACTAATTAGTAGACAAACATGTTTTCTTTTTAACTCTACAGAAGAGAGTAAATAGAGAGAGTAGTTTAGCTCTGACTGGCGTGGCTCAGTTGGTGGGGTGTCATCCCACCAAGTGAAAAGTCGCTGGTTTGATTCCCAGCCAGGGTACATGCTTGGGTTGCAGGCCTGGTCGCCAGTTGGGGCTGAGGCAAGAGGCAACCAATTGATGTTTCTCTCACATATCGATGTTTCTCTCTCCCTCTCTCTGCCTTCCTTCCCCTCTCTCTAAAAATAAGTAAATAAAATCTTTTTTAAAAAAATCCAACATCAATGATTTTACAAGAAAAGAGTAGTTTATATTTCCATCTTAAACATGTTTAAGTTTGTAACTCAGAAGAAAATCAAGATCAAGAAGTGGCTTTTTTTCATTGATTTTTAGAGAGAGACATTGATTTCTTTTTCCACTTATTTTTGCATTCATTGGTTGCTTCTTGTATGTGCCCTGACTGGAGATTGAGCCCATAAACTTGTGTATTGGGACTATGCTCTAACCAACTGAGCTCCCTGGCTAGGACAGCTTTTTGGTTTTAAGGCAATGATTTCATTTGCAGATTTTTAGATGATTTAAATTACCTTTGTATCTTCATAAAAATTTTAGACAATAAAGTCCTACACATTCAGCTTAAAAGTTGTCATGTATATTGAGAAAAATTCTGTTAAGACGGCTTATAATGTTTAATGAATTTATGCTTTCAAAGAAGTAATTAAAATAGGTCTTAAGTAATTGTGAAACACTTTTTTTAAACCTAATATAGCAATCCTTTAAATATAATTTATTTCTTCATACATTTCTATATACTATATATATGTAGATGCATTTTAGTTCATTACTGTGGCATTTGGGATTTAGTATTTGTGTGTTCAGCCAACTGTAAGCCATGCAGATGGTTGGGTGGACAGGTTTTAAAGACTGACCTGGCTTTGAATCTAGTCTCCACTTCATTAGTTTCTGAGTACAAAATGGTATTTAATTTCTGTCTCATGATTTAATGAAATAAGGTATTCAACATGTCAAGCACTTAGCAGAATGCTTGGTACCCACTAAAGTACTTAAAAATAGTAACCAACTCTTAAGAGGCATGATTAATTAGTAATATTACCAAGAATTTGTGTCACGTGGCTAGATAATGAACTCTACTACAACTGCATCTCAGAGGGTTTGTGCTTTTCTGCCTGTGGCATATATGGTTTATCTGAGTGAAATATTGAGTACAGTAGTCAAGAATTTGTTTCTCAAAGGTATTCAGTTGCATCCCTTGGGTGTGTGAAGGATCTACCGTAATGGCTTTTATGTTATTTCACAATTCAAAGATATGTAATGTGACTCTTGATATTATATTGTATTTTAAAACAAACTCTATATTTCTGTTTCATTTCAGTCATATACTTTAGTATTTTCTGTGTAAATACCTCTATGAAAAATATTAAGTGTTCCGTATATCATAAAGATGCTTATTTTTCTCCATTTTATATTTCCAAAGAAAGTTTGTTTGACTATGAGGGTGATTATAGGAGTTGCTGTTGAAGCACACTTATCTTGCTCTCTCTTTAATAAGACTTATTCTTGTACTCATGCCCAATTAAGGAACATCCAAGTGGAACAAAGTCACTTTTAGATTTCAGATATGATGTTATGATATGACAATTTTTTAAATTAAAAAATAAAGATAACACCTCTCCTTTCAACAGGATTTTTAGCACAGTAGTTTTTTATAAAAAGGATCACTGAATTTAGCATTTTTTTAAAACAGATCTCAGAAAAAATGAAGATAAATTGAACCATCATCAGCGAATTGGACTGAAGTAAGGTGGCAAATTTTACTTTGACACTAGAGATGTAAAAGTAAAAATTTTTATAGCATTCCTCCATACATCATAGTAATTCTTCAAAGTTAGCTAAACAACCATTTTTCTATTTACAAATGCTAAGATTTGTTGCAGACTCCAGTAGAGAATATGCCTATATTCACATGTTTTGTTATTGCTTTCTAGTTTGTTTGCTTGTTTTAAATATTTCCCTCATTCTCTTGACTTTAGCAGGGAGTTTCCTCTGAAAATACATAGAACTGAGTGCATCAAGCAGTCAGTGCGTGTTTATTTTGTGCTTAAATTATACAGAGCACTTCACTAGGTCTGGGGTAAGGATATAATCAGGCTCAGTGTAGGTTTTGCAAAGTCTAGAGTCTTCCTCAGAAGATACTTCCTCAAACACTAAATTAAAAAAGAAAAACTCGAACACCTATATAACAGGAATGGAATAACTAATAGGCATGTTATATATCAGCATTAGCTATTATTTTGGGTGCGAGACATAATCAGGAACCCCCTTTCTATTTATTTAAAATACATAGTTCATAAGCTGTGTACATGGAAAGGCACGTATCTTAAGACTACTAGAGGTAGTCTTGTTGGCAATTCAGTCCTAATAACCTGAACTTTTCTGTTGATGACTTACTATAATATATTAAACTTACACTGCCCTTCCAAAACTTTGAGCAAGTAAGAGACCCATAATAGTATAGTTCCCACTTTCCTTGCATTTACATAGTAAACAGAGATCGTCTTAAGAACCTTGTTTTGAGAATTGGTTTTGACCAGGTGCTTTATTCTTAGATGTTATTTTATACTTAGAGAATGTTTTTATAACAATCTTATTGAAGTATAATTCACATACCATACAATTCACCCATTTAAAATAGACAATTCAGTGATTTTAGTGTATTCACAGAGTTGCACAGCCATCACTATAATCACATGTAGGGTCCTCTGCTCTCTCAGAAAGGGCCCATACCTGTCAGCAGCCACTCTCCATTTCTCCCCAACCCTCTACCACTTTCCCACTTGCCACCCCCCACCAGCTCCTGGCAACCACTAATCTACTTCCTGTCTCTATAGATGTACCTATTCTGGACATTTCTTATATATAAAATAATGCGACATGTGGTCTTTCGTGAGTGGCTTCTTTCAATTAATGTGTGGGTTCATTCATGTTGCAAGATCCTACTAGGATATTTTAAAATACAATAATTGTACATGATTTAAGGGTAATAAGCTATAACCTTGATTTGTCAATAGGGAGCAGTCTAATTTGCAAATGTACTAATATGTGTTTATTTACTCTTGGCGTATGAATGTGAAGTTTACTCATAAATAGGCTTAGATGGAGTATCTGGAATATCAGAAAGGATGACATTTAAGGATTTTGATCCAAGCTAAGGAATAAACCTTCCCCAACCCCAGTTTTACTCTTGTCTTAATGAATTTTAATCTTGATTTTTAAATGGTCTGATTGTAAGGATATTGTAGGAAATGTAATTTTTAAGAAGATATAAATGTCACAAAAATATTATCTTTTTTGTCTTTGTAGATATTTTGAGGACTTTGAGAAAAGAATTCCTCGTGAAGAGATGTTACAAATGCAAGTAAGAGTGTGCTGAGTTGTATTCTTTGATTAAAATTGACAGTACCACTTGGTGAAAAACCATTTTTAGAATACTGACTTAATTTTTCTTCTATTAGGATATTGTACTAAATGAAGTTAAAAAAGTGGATTCTGAATACATTGCTACAGTCTGTGGCAGTTTCAGAAGAGGTAATATACTTCTTAATCCCAGGTTATATTCATGCCTTGCTAAAATTGTCTAATGTATATGAAAAACATGAATTAAAAAGATGTAATGTGTGTTACTTAACAAATTTACCAAATTTAACTAATTCTTAACAAATTAAATATCTGGATGTATTAGCTAAGTTTATTTATTTATTGATGGAAATGTGTATATGAAAAATTAGAGGAAATTCATACTGATTTATTATAGAGTGATATTTTAGTGACAAATTTTAATTAAAATTTATAAAACAATTTTGAGTATGTTAAAATCCTAATAGTTGTTGTTTGGCTAAATGCTAGTGAATCCAGTTTTTGTTTTACTTTTTGTATTTTCTGTTATCTATCATGGGTCTAAGAATAATGTCTCAGAAGTACCAGTTGAAAACCAGTTCTCACAACAAGGTTCTGCGGATCTCCATTTACTATGTGAATACCAGCAAAGCAAGAACCACATAATCGTGGTCTCTAACTGCCTCAAAAATTGGGAGGGATAACATAAATTTAAAAATATAAACTTCAGCAATTAGAATAGAGAAACTTTATTTAAAACTTTTAGAATAGATATCTAATTGAATCTCTGGCCATCTGGGGTTTTGCTTGGAAGTAGGTGATGGGCTATAAGAAATTCTGAGTAGCTGCTGTAAGAATGTAGATTTGGGAAGAGGAAAAGACTAAATCCATAATCGCTGATAAATAAAAAGAATATTGGTTTGGCGCCAAAATGCCTGGATTCTCAGGCTAAATCTATCACTATATGATTTTAAGTAAGTTTGTCTCTCCACATCCTGATTTCTGTATTTGCAGAATGAGAGGATTAAAGTTAACAAGTTGTGCCCTGGTAGGTGTGACTTAGTGGGTTGTTTGCTGGCCTGCAAAGTGAAAGGTTACTGGTTCAATTCCCGGTCGGAATACATGACTAGGTTGTAGGCCAGGTCACTGGCTGGGTGTGTGTGAGGGGCAATCTATCAATATTTTTTTCCTCTCTTTCTTCCTCCCTTACCCTCTCTCTGAAAAACAAATATTAAAAAAAAAAAAAGTAAGTTCTTGAAGTCTGCGCATCAGAAACACCTAGTTTTTAAAAATATAAACATTGCGGTACCCTGTTACAAACCTACTAAATAAGAATCTCCTTGGATGGGGCCTTGGAATCAATATTTTCAAGACCTAGACTTTGCTACACAGCAAGTCTCATGCATGCTCATTTGACTAAGACAGCTGTTCTGGATTTATATATTTTCATTTTATTTTTGATTTTATTTATTATTCAGTAGGTTATATGGTTACGTACTTCAATATAAAAAAGATATATACTAAGAAGTCTCACTTCTACTCTATCCCTGTTTACTGTTTTCATTCCCTTCCACCAATGACCCATTAATATCGACTTCCTTTCAGTGTTTCTCTTTCAGTGTTTACTCTTTCAGTGTTTCTACATGTAAATATAACTAAATGTGAATACACAATTTTGGTTTCTTTCTCTCTCTTTCTTTCACAAAGGTAATATAATGTTCTGTACCTTACTTTTTTCACTTAAAAATACATCCAGGAGATTTTCCACATTGGTACCTAGACAGCTCCTTATTCTTTTTTATAGCTGCATAACATTCAGTCGTGTGTGGATATTCCTTATTTTATCTAGTCCTCTGTTAATGGACCCTAGGGTTGCTTCCTGTTTATTTGCTTAAGTAGTTTGTTTTTGTTTTTTAAATGGAAAAAGTAGTAAATTTTTACTACTTTAAAAATGTAGGTGGATGGTGGAAGACAGTCAGCTTTCAGGAGAAAAAAATGAGAAGAAAAGACAATAATTTTTTTTTTTATTGTTAAAATAGCTACTGTGAATGTCCTGGGATCAGCACATACTCAATGTAGTCTTCTTTATGTTTCAATATCTGGTTAAAAATTGCTGATGGGTAAGATGATGATCCACAGACACTGGTAGATCTTCAGGGACCAGGAGTATTTTTTACATATATTATACCTATAAAAATGAAAAAAAAAGGAAATAAACAGGATTCTTTTATGCCAGCTGTGTGCCAGGCACTATTCTAAATGCTTTTACGTATGTTCTTATTTGGTTGCACAACAGCCTATAAAGTAGTTTTTAGTAGTTTGTAGATGAGGAAAGTGAGGTCTAGAGAAATATGCAGTCTTCATTTGTAATACTGAAAAAAAAAAATTTAAAGTGAAACATATTTAATCTAAATGGAGGCAAAATTCCGTAGTAAAAGAAAGGTTTAAACAACTGTATGTCACCTGCCTGAAGTTACTTGGTTTTAAAGTAGGGACCAAAGTGAAAGCTTAAGTTGTTACCATGTGCTGTGTTCCTATCCATGATGCTAAAATTGTAATTTTTATCAATACTCATTAAATAAGTTCAATCATAAGAATTGAAATGAGTTTTCTGATTAACCTTTATTGAGGTGGAGCTCATTGTTTAATTTGAAATTTTTAGATATATAGTTTTCATTGATGTGTTTTAAAGCTATTTTTAAATGTTATTTTTACTCTTTATTCAATACTTAAGTTCATTTTTAATACATTAAATTAACTGATTATGTGCAATCTCTAATGCCAGTTACTGTTGTTATACCAGATTCTGCTGTTTTCATCAATATACCTGAATAGTTGGACAATTGAAATCTTTTAACTAATTCTGAATATGAAGCACAGTGAAATAGAAAGTTAAGCTATGAGAAGTAAGGTCCTTCTATATGTGTCAATACCTTGGTCCTGTTTGTCTAACAGATAAACTTACATGAAGACTTCCATACATTTTCTTTGTTATCATAGGTGCAGAGTCCAGTGGAGACATGGATGTTCTTCTGACCCATCCGAGTTTTACTTCTGAATCAAATAAGCAGGTACCTCAGAATTTATAATCAATGTTACCAATCTTACATCGCAATGAATATCATTTTCTAAATGATAGCTGAATATTTTCAGGATAAGTTTTTGTTTTAATCTTTCTGAAAAGTCAATTGAAGTGTTTTGTACTGATTGAATTACGTGAAAGGCCAGGTAAGTTGTTGAAAGGGATACATGGTTTTCCACAAGGAATTGGGAGGACAATCCAACGTTTGAAAGAGATGAAATGTAGTAAAATATTTCTGAAATGAATTATTGTCTATCAGATATTTTACAAATACCCAGGATGATATTTAGGTTTTCATTAAAGGAACTTTTTTTGTATTAACAAATATTGGATTAAAAAACTTTACCTTTATTAGAAAGCCCGAGAAGGCAAAACATTTTTGATTTTGGAATATATGCTTTTTAAAGATGAAGCAGCTAATTTTTTGGTTTAATGAAACAGATAAACACAAATGATGTTTGTTTAGGAGTATTATGATACTGGTGAAAGATGATGGTATCTAAAATAAGTTTTATTTTATAGGATAAATTATCTGTTAGAAGAAAAAAGTATTTACTCAGAACATAGGAATAGGCATTCATTTTTCCATAGTTAATCAGAAAACTCATGTTAAAAATGTTTTCTTACCATAACAGAGTAATTGTTCTTTTTCTTATTCCCTAATTGTGATTCTACAGCCCAAGTTGTTACATCGTGTTGTGGAGCAGTTACAAAAGGTCTGTTTTATTACAGATACTCTATCTAAAGGTGAAACAAAATTCATGGTAAGTCCTCTGAGTTAACACATTGGGAAAAAAATCCGTAAAGATTGTTTGGTAATGGTTTTATGTGACTTCATTGTAGCTTAATATTACAGTCAATAAATATCCTTGAGACCTTAGAGAAGAAGAATTAGCAGAATGCTAATCTCAGAATATTTTAGTAAAGAATTTTATTTTAAATACCCCACTTGTAAATATCTGTGCCATGAGAATAGATCATTAGGCATAATCTTCTGTTTTCAAAAGACCCATAATGACCTTGATATATAAGGTGATCCCTAAAATAGCAAATTGTTTTCATATTCTCTGGCTCAGAATTCTCCAATAATTCTCCAATAAAATTGTCTGAAGAATCTTAATATATTACAATACCAAAGAAAGAAAAGGAATCAAGATACGTGATAGAACACAGGGGAAGAAACACGTTACATGGAACAATAGGGGAGTTCGTAGAGGGGAACACACTTGCAGAGATTTTTAATAGTGAAACCCATTATGATGAATTGTCAAAATCCTGTCATCTTCCTAGGGAATTAAAATGTAAAGATTCAAGACAAATGGCAAATGGATTAAAAACAGATTAATAAATGGCCCTGTGTAGAAACCAACAGGAAGGCAAATAGAAATCTAGGACTAAGGTAATAAAGGCTTACTTTTATTCTACTGATCACTTCAGTCTACATCATTTGTATCCCTTTTCTCTGTGTTTCACTTTTCCCAAGTTGTATGACTGAAAGGAAAGAGACTGCTTTTGGAGAACAGACATGCTAGAATTAGCAAGTCTCATGCATAAATTCAACAGTAGTTTCAACCAACAGTGGAAGACGGTGGTTGAGATGGATGACTGAAATGTGTCACCCAGAAAGTAGAGTGGGGGTTACCAGGACATGGGGAGTTACTGTGTAATGGGGACAGAATTTCAGTTGGGGAAGATGAGGAAGCCCTGGTGGTGGCGGATAGTGGTGATAGTTGCACCGCAGGGTGAATGTACTTAGTGCCACAGAACTGCATGCTTAGAAATGGCTAAAATGGTAAATTTTATGTTACATTTATTTAATCATATAAAAATACCATGTTATTAAATTCAGCGTGGTGATTCTAATGAGCTATGAAAGTGTATTACTTATGTTGGTTATACTGTATCAGTGTTTTCAAAAGAACTTTGAGAAAGGTCAAAGAAATTCTAGTCAGTCTTTGGGAATTAAGTATATCATCTGTTTTCCTGAATCTGTCAGATTTTTAGATTTTACTCTATGTCCAAAAGTCTATACACACAGGAGATCCTATTTAAAATAGGGTTTATTTTATGCTCCTTGAACATCCTTTTAAAATTTATATTGATTTTAATTCACTCAAAATGAATGTGCATAAATCTTACATTTAAAGTACATTCAATAAGATAAAATCCTAAAACCAGTATGAGCTAGACGAGTTGGATTTTGTTTGTTTCATAGGAGTGCCCTTGTGTGCCTGGGCATGTTCTGGGCATCTCTCCAGCCTGCCCCTCCGGCCCCCGTAGCCGTCTCTGTGAAAGGCGCTGCCACTCCCCATGGGGGCGGCGCACTGCCTGCTTTCAGAGTTAGTGTGGAAGGCGTTATGCAGTCCTGTCGCGGAAGCATTTTTTTTTACAGTCTGAACAGTATTCTGCTTGTGCTCAAATAGAGATCTAGAGGAAGAACCCACAGAGGCTGTAGTAATCCAGCTAGCAAGAATACAAGCCAGTGGGCTAGATGTAGCCTGCAAAGGAAAGGTGGGTAGCCAAGTGTATGTGAACACAAAGATTTGCTAAAAGTGGTGGAAATGGGTTATTCTAGTTAACTGCCCAATCAGAAAAGAGAGGACCTTTGCCTGGAAGTGTATGGGCAGCCAGACCCAGTGATTGCTACAGAGGAGGCCGCTTCAGACCTCACTGTTCATGATGTGAGAGAACAGAATGGTGAGAATGAGTGTCAACAGAATGAGAAGGTCTATTCAGTCAATCCAGCAACCATATTAAACATCTATGACATTCCAGGCGCTGTTCTAGGAGCTTGGCATATATCAGTGAATTAAAGTGGAACTTGTATTTGGGGAGTGTGGGAAGGAACTGCTTGTTAACCATGAACATAATAAATAGGTAAATTGTAAAATTGGATAATAAGTATTTTTTAAAAAAGAAAGGGGGAGAGCAGGTGTGGGGAGATGGGTGTGCAGGAGACAGTATTACGTAGGATCGTCAGAGGCAGAGACAATGAGTCTTGGGGAAAGACTTGCGGTAAGGGATTTAGCCAGGCCGGTTCCTGGGGGAGAGAGTCAGAGCAGTGACTGGAAGCGCATGGGCCTTAGAAGAGACGTCTAACGGAGTTAGGGTCTCAAGGTTTCTGAAAGGAAGTTGCGTGCAAAATGAATTCAATTTATAAAGTTAAATAAACCCTTCTCATTCCAAGTCCGCTTGATTTCAAACCCCTTGTTACTATAACCACTGACTAAATAGTTGTAAAGATGTGACGATTTGTGTGTTTTTCAAGTTATCCTCCAAACAATTCCTTTAATAGTGAGTAAACCTTAGGAAAGCCAGGGTTATTCCAAATCTTCTTGTAAAACCATGGTCTTTAGGTAATTAAGCTATTCTTCCTGCAAATATAACATTTGGAAGAAAAAAACCATTTTCTCTGCATTTAGATGCCTGTTTGCTGAATGTACGTAAGATGAGTACCATTCAGATTTTAGCATTTTGTGCAAGTTTGGCCTTGGATGGTTTTCTGTGAAATATCTGCTACAGTAAGGATTCAAGGGACAAACAGAAGGTATCTTGACCACCCGGAGGAAGTCAGAGGGGCTTTATTTCAGACACTTGCACGAAGCTATCGAATTTGAAATGCCAAACAAAACCAATCTACTCTATCTAGTAAAGAGTTTACAGTAATACAGAGGAATTTTTTAACATTAGCACTTCAGAAAAAGTGCAGGAAATAAACTTAGCTACTTGAGGAAAGGAACAAAGCCTTTAGATAAAATCCTATTACTGATGTGACAATTTCCTGTGACATCTAAACATCCATATCCACCAGGTAATGCCTCATGGGAATGCCAGATGGAAGTCATTTCTGATCCACTTGAAGGTTGAGTTGGAACTGGTTAATGCCTAAGGAGGCAAGTTTCATATTTTGAAGATGAACAGATTTCATTTGTCTTTCAGCTATAGCAACAGCTAAAGAAAATACCCATTTTGGATTTTAGATTTTAATTTTTCTATGTTGCTGAGTGCAAATTTATGGCTTTTAATGAACAGCTCGACTACTTTGTAGAATGAGAAGCCTGCCCCTTGCATATTTTTCTTAGAATGTAGTGTTTGAAACTTTTATTTTGGAATTTGTTGATGTTTGTAGTTCTTTTTACATATTTATGGGTTGCTAAGTAGTCCAGAATTTTTGCCCATTTTCTGGAAAAGGAAAAGATAGCAAAACAGACCTCGAAAATACCTGTTTGAAAACTAGAAGTATAATGAAAACTCACTTACAGAAAAGGAAGAAAATGATCCCCTGATTTTTTAAAAATGTATTGATTTTAGGGTTGGGGGGAGAGTCATTGGTTTGTTGTTGCACTTATTATTTATGCACTCATTGGCTGATTCTTGTATGTGCCCTGACCGGAGATTGAACCCACAGCCTTGGCGTATCGAGGTGACTCTCTAACCAACTGAGCACCTGGCCAGGGCCTCCCCTGATTTTCTTATCTTTTAAATTTTTATTACTTTTCAACTCTTTGTCTTCTAATTTCTGGGAGGTTTCCACAATTTCCAACTTTCCTACTTTTGCTGTCATGTTTTTTACTTTAAGTCTTTTCTCTCAGTGTTCTTTTTCTGTAGTTTTCTGCCCTTATTTCATGGATGGAATATCTTCTGTTACCTGAAAACATTACTTATAGCTTTTTTGTTTTCTTCTTCCTGAAAAATCATTTTCTTCCAAGTTGCTTTTTGTTTGTTTGTTTGTTTGTTTGTTTTGGTCTCTGCCTTTCATGTTTGATGCTTTCCTTGATTGGCTTGTTTAGAATCACAGAAAGGCCAAACCCTCCTACCTTGCTTGCTGTGTCATGGAGCTCTTTACTTACGAAGTATAATAGGGAGGTAGTGATAATATATAGTGTTTAGTAAAACTAAGTTAAAAGTGCTCCAAATTCAGCTTTTTTGGCTTTTGGCTCGGAGGAGGCTAAGGTACAACTTTCTTTGGTTGCCCGAATCTGGGTTTATTTGACATCAGCTGCCTCCACCATGCCGCTGAAGTTTGGGCCCAAACTTTATGAGATCAAATTCATATACCTGAGGTGCACCAGTGGGAAAGTTGATGCCATGTCTGCCTTGGACCCAAGATCAGCTCCCAAGATCAGCCCCCTGGGCCTAGTTCTCCAAAAAAAGGTTGGTGATGACATCGCCAAAGCAACCGGTGATTTAATGGGTCAGACAGAGGGTTACAGTGAAACTGTTCAGAATAGACAGGCCCAAACTGAGGGAGTGCCTCCTGCCTCTGCCCTGATCATCAAAGCTCTCAAAGAACTGCCATGAAACAGAAAAGCAGCAAAAAAAACATTAAGCACACTGGAAATATCGCGTTTGATGAGATTGTCAACATTGCCTGACAGATGCGGCACTGACTTTTAGCGAGAGAACTCTCAGGAACCATTAAGGAGCTCCTGGGGGCTGCCCAGGCTGCGGGCTGCAGTGTTGATGGCCGCCCCCTCACCTCATGTCGCTGATGCCATCATCAGCGGGGCAGCGGTGCCCGGCTACTCACAAAGGAAAATATTTCAATCAGAGTCATTTGACAACCAAAAAAACTCCGAATTTGCAAATTGCCTCCATTTAAAACAAGTACAATCTCACACTTAATGATATTTAACTAAAATGAAGCCTTGTTCTCAAAAACATTTTTAAGCATTCTTTTAAATATCCATTTTAGGGTGTTTGCCAGCTTCCCAGTAAAAATGATGGAAAAGAATATCCACACAGAAGAATTGATATCAGGTATTTTTGTTGCTGGCCTATTAACTTTTTCTTTTCTCCCCTTTCCCTCCTCCCTGTGTATGTCTTGGAATTCATGTAAATGTCTAGAATCCCTTTTATTCTAAAGTGCCATATATTCCAGCTATAGACAATATTTAGCCTGAAAATACATAAATAATAACTGTCTATAGAATCTAATTTATTTTCGCTAGCTATGTATCTCATCATGATACCTTCCACAGCTCAAGAGTAGTTTCCTGCCCAGGGAAAGTTAGTTGTAATAAGTGATAATGCTTTTCATTTCTCCACACCTCTTGCAGAGCATAGTATACTAAAACCTAAACTGCAAGCTTGGGGTCATTGGAATGGTCACCTAATGAGCCTCCTCTTCAGGTTATCTGGCCACACACTTATTTTAGGTGCTATGTACCTTACTGATTTTAAGAGTCTTATTTTTGCTAATTTGAAATGTGTAGTAGAAAATTTATATACAGCTTTTTTCCTTTTTTAGGTTGATACCCAAGGATCAATATTACTGTGGTGTTCTCTATTTCACGGGGAGTGATATTTTCAATAAGAATATGAGAGCTCATGCCCTAGAGAAGGGCTTCACAATCAACGAATACTCAATCCGCCCCTTAGGAGTCACTGGTGAGCATTTGTGTCCCCTAGAGAAAACCCCAGTCATCTGGGAAGAAAGTTATATTCAAAGAGACAATATTTGGTTTAGCAACTTTGGTTCTCTAAAAAGCCTTTAAGTAACTATGCCAGTTAATTGTAGTTTTTTTGTATTGTTAGTCCCTCAGGCAGAAAAAGGGGCTTTAATCCATATGTGCTCCCAGGCCCTCAATGGCAAGAATTATTTCTGGCTCTATCACAGTGGATTCAATTCTTTCTACCTATGATGGTCCGTAAAAAAAAAAAAAAGAAAAAGAAAAGAGTATTAATCTAAGTACTTTGTTTTTTCAAATGTGCCTTTAAGGCTCCTGATGAGCCCAGGGACTATTGCTTTTCATGCCAAGCCAGGCCTAGTAGCTCTGGCCCATGCTTTCAAAGTGTAAAGAGTAAGAATTGCTTAATCTCTGCTTTGTGGATCTTAACATTTAACAATATACTGTGTGGTTTACTATTGTCTACTAGGAAAATTGAGAGTTTGTTATTTTGTCCTAAAATTGAAAAAGCTGGTTTTCATCCTTGGGAGACCAGGGCAGCACTCCTCACGCGTCAGTGTGTGTGCACGCCACGCACAGACCCCATTAAGTGCAGGTTCTGACTCAGTGGGCCTCGGAGGGCAGCGCTGACTCTGCATTTCTAGTAAGCTTCCAGCTGGCACTGGTGCTGCTAGTGTAGCAACCACATTTGGAGTTGCAAAGGAAGTCTCTAGCGTGTTTTATGTAATGGTGGCTACAGTGGAGATCCAGCAGAGAGGAAAACCATGAATTAGGGTCACCTCAAAGGCCATAGTTGGAATGCACAGGTTCCTTTTGGAGTACTGGCGTGTATGACACGCCTCAAACATAAACTCATGTGGGAGGATGGCACAGTCAGTATCTTTTTTTTTTAGTGGCTTGGTTATGTTTTTCTTTTCCTGAAGGTATATCCCATACAACTGTCAGTCCTAAAACTGCTTTGTAAGTAAGTTTCCTTTGTCTTTTACTTGCAGGAGTTGCTGGAGAACCCCTGCCAGTGGACAGTGAGAAAGATATCTTTGACTACATCCAGTGGAAATACCGGGAACCCAAGGATCGAAGTGAATGAGCCCTATCCTTCCTCCCAGGCACAGCCCAACAGGAGTCTTAATTTATTTCTTAACCTTTGCTATGTAAGGGTCTTTGGTGTTTTTAAATGATGGTTTCTTCTTCGTGCTTGAGCCCACACCGTAGTTAATAAAACCTCTTGTACTATTATCAGATGATCTTGTTCCAATTTTATTAGAAAATATGTTGAAATTTACATTTTTGGTCACACTTTACTAAGGGTTTACTAGAAAGAATTAAGATATGAGATGGTAGCACATCTTTAATGGGAATTTTTATTTTCTCTTTTTCTGCCCTTATACTATAAATCAGCATATCCCCACTTCCTTTCCTTCTGTTGATTACAAATTAGTTAAGATACACCCAGAGGCTATCTTCTTAAGGATAATTCACTATTTTTTAAAAACTAAGGACCTTCATAAATTTAATTTTCTTTGGTTGGGCCATATTCAGTTTTGTAATACATACTTAAATAGATGAACAGGTGTGTGGTTTAACTCCAAAATGAAACCTGTAGAACCTGGTTGTGATCCATCAGAAAGAAACTCCCTAAGCAAAACCACTTCTAAATGCACCCATACATACAAAATATGGCCTCTTAAACTTCTAACAAAAAATTCACTTTTATGCCCTAGTTTTCCTCCAAGGTAATTTTTGAGTTTAAATGGTAAACTATATAACTAAAAACACTCCTTTAAAGCCATAGCTTTGAATATAAAAATTATGTAAATATAAAATACAAAAAGTTATCAAATGATAAGTAAAGCTATTGAAAACAAACTGTAAAAATGCTTTGTAACTTGCAAAGGACTGTACAAACATAAGATACTACCTTTTCAATCTTATTTCTTTATTAACTAAATTATTTTGTAGTGAAATGGCATTTCCCTTCCAAGAAATGAAAGAAAATAAACAATAATGCTTTTAAGGAAAAAAATAGTATTTGCTGTGATAATTTCCCCTGGTAAGATAGAAGAATTAATTGAACTGTAGATGCCATAGCTTCCCCCCCGCCCCCAACTACCGTCAGTTACCAGAACCTTACCAGAAATTATTTAAGATTATTTGAAGTAATTGAATCACTGGATCAGAATTAAATTTTTTTTTTGTTACAGGATCACATCACCTTTCTGCAAAAATAGACAAAAGCCAAAGCTAGTTTCCATTCATCACAGGGCAGCATCTCACCATTCTGTAGCCTGGTCTAATTCCATTGCTACAAGATTTGATCTTAAGATACATTTGTATGGAAAAGATTCAAAAATTAATACCTGCAATTTCTGCTTCAATACAATGAGTCATCTTTATTTGAAATGTTTACAGCTTTTTAGATTTTTTGGCGCACTCTTTGCATGTTGTTGATTGTCAGTCACGTGACTGACACTACAGTCCAGAACCGCAGTCACAACACTGGAAGATTTCTGGACTCCAGCAGAGGCCTTGTGCTCTCTCCTGGAGCAGACCCGTCCCCCCAGTAGGGCCACTTTACAAATTTTAGTCCAAAAATGGCAAGCACAGCAAAGTCCATGTCTGCAGTAAAAAATTCTAAGACAGCTCTCTCCCTCTTTTCTTGTTACAAGATTAATATGGGCTTGAAAATTACTACTGGGATAAGGGCTTGAGGATGCACAACTAAAAGCCACAAAGTAAAAATAGAAACAGTGTGCAGGTCTCCTGGAGCTTGATCTTATGCTGAAAGCAATAATGGAAATTTCAGCTCTACCTGACGGAAATAAATTTTTATAGAGTTAAAACATTTGTCAAAGGTGGGATATTTCCATGAAAAATGAAGTATGATCACTCATTCGTGTTTCATTAAATGAGATTTATACTAACACAAGGAGAGACCATTACTTAAAAAGGGGCCAGTTCACCTGAGGACACAAATAAGAACAGCCAGTTCACCACCCACAAACTTTCCAGCTGTTTCATGTCGAAAATTGGAATTCAATGCTACAGTTTGTTAAAAAGCAACTTAGCGAAGTTTGGGAATGCGAAGTTAATGCACCTACATTCAGCTCTATTTTGTATTCTGAGGATCTAAAAAGGGAAACTGCCATTTGTTAAATTACAGACTGTGAAAAGATGTGTATATAAAGTTCAGTTCAACAATGAAATGTTTTCTTTCTAACCAGTCCATAATTATGGCTATTCCTCTGTCCTCTTGGCCGGCCAACTACCTTAAGCTACTTACTACCTGATCTACGTAGCTGCTTATGAAAAGAGAAACAGGACATGCGCCCTGTGTGTTTCTGGGGTAGAGAGGAGTAAAGTCAGTTTCGACCAATCTTTAAGGTTTTTGGTTTTTTTTAAAGAACTTGAGATGCTGCGCTTACCCTTACCATCTTGTGATTTCTTAATATTTGGCTTCCTTTTGGATTTGTTTTCTGAAGCGGACGCTCCGTTGCTCCTTTTGTAGTAGCTATGTCTTCAGGGTCAGCAGCCTGCCTCTCCCATACCGAGTTTGCATGTCCCACTGCAGTACAAACATCTAAGAGACAACCAGGTGTAGTGAGAGTTATTAACTGCAAGGGTTAGAACCACAGGCATGCTAATTATCACACTGTTAAATAGTTTGGCAGAACCTCTGCCTTCAGTTTATATATAACTTTCCAGATTTCTGGGACATGTGCACTGAATATTTACGTGCTCACATATGGCAAAGAGGGTAGTTAGGTATCAACAAAATCCAAGTGAAAACAAGAATTTGAAAGATCCCAACTTGCACCCTTCCTTCAAAAATCACCTCCAAGTTGCTGGCAAGAGCTAGTGCTGAGAAATAAACTAAACGAGTCAGGAAAAGGCAGCTGCAGGAATTTACTTCAAGCATGACTCTAAGGAAATGTTTAGAGAATGCCTATCTTGGAATATTCTCGTCTATGAGATTGAGAAGCTGTCCTCTGTTTAAAAATCACTGGAGCAAAGCTGCCGCTGCGAGGGTTTATGGCAGCTTCCCCTTCACACAGAGCGTTCCTGGGCAGCACGTGGCCTCACGTGGGCACCCTGCGGCCCACGACGTGGTATTGCAGTCATTGTCAGACGAGCACTGTGAACCCTGCGAAGAGAAAATTGTCACAGGTCTAGGGACTCCAACAAGATATAAGATGACGTTTTATTCCAGGCAGGAGGTAGAGGAAGCCAAATCATAGTGGCACTTGGAGTGCTGTGGCAAACTTCGAAGCAGCATCTTCGCATTTCAATAAAATGTGTTATCTTCCAAGAAGGGGGCCAGTACATTTTTCGTGTTTGCTATCAAGCTCAAACCAGATTTCTTATATTTTTAAATCTTACTTTTAAGTTCTCCCTAGTGGTTTATTTCCCCTTCACCTCTGTCCCTACCACCTGTACATATAGGACTCCCCCAAGGGGTTGCTTCTGAATATGTTATTTTAAGTTGGAGGTGGAAGTGAAACCACCCATTGCCCCACTACCCAGTCACTGCTAGTCACTCTGTGTTTGCTTTCAGTTCTTTTATCGCTTTCCCCTTGTAACTGCTCCCCAACACTAAACCCTAACCAGGGTGTGTTACCTGGAATGGCTCTATCATGTCCAACCAGTGGTGGGCGGTGCCAAGTTACTTAACCATGCAATTGAACAAGTTTTGGTATTATAAATACTTCGGGGATAGAATCTAAGCATTTATAATTGGAGAATGTCCCCTGAGTGATTCTACTGCATATTTTCTTATTGATAGCCACTGTTTAAGTTCTACTACTTGCAACTGTATTTTAATCTGGTTTTTATATAAACCATATTTGCCAATATTTTTACACAGCAATAATATAGTTCTTGAAAAGCAGGACAATTTTTTATGTTCAAAGGAATTCTCTCTCAGGAGAATTTGTGAAGTAATTAATGAAGCAGTGTGGAAGCATATTATAGTTTATGTTTCAAGTGCTGGAAATAATGACCCTTGCCTTTCTACAGTTGCTTGTGCAGATGGAACTACATCAAGTCTAATAGGTTAGTTTACTGTTTTAGAAGAGGCGTTGATTAAAAATAAACAAACATAAAAACCCTTCAGTTACTCCAATGTTAATTGCATTTCTTCTGCATGCAAGACATCACAAGCTGGAAATACACCCCCAGGAAACCGAAATCTCGTAGGGGGCTGCTGGTCTGGAATTTACTCTGAAGTAGACTTCAGAGTTAAGTGGTTTAATGGAAGTAGAGATGCAGTGCTGTGGATACACAAGCCAGTTTGATTTGAGAATTTAGGTGAGGCTTTCTGGAAGAATGTGGGAATGAGGGTTTCAGTTTGTAGATATGATCAAGGAAAGGGCTTTCCAGACTAACTGAACAATGTAAGTAAAGACAAGTTTTATTTATAGTGTATGACTACTAATTTATTATATAGTTTCCTCCTTTGATTTCTTTTGGGACATGCAGGAAGAACTAGATGTAGAGGAAGAGAGGTTTTTTCCAACTCTTTGTTCTTTAGATATGATGCAGTGTTATCTGTTTCACGTTAATCTTATGGGGAAAATGTCCATCGACAAGAGTTATGGGAAATCAAAATTAGTTGCAGTCCTAGTACAAGAATAATAAAGTTAGCTTACATTATAGTACAGTAGCTGCCAACTTATGCAGAAAAAGCCACAAGATATAAAACCCACCCCTGTTCTTTTTAGTTATGCTGCATGACTGACAAGGATAAATTGAGAGAAACAAGTAGGTAGTAAAGGATTCCTAAATTATTATTTTTTAATTTTTATTTGAGATGAAGATCAAAATAAGGCTTCTATCTTTTGAAATTTGCCATTGGATACATGACTATAAAAACTATTTGTTTCCAAATAATTTTTCTGGTGTACATATCAATAAGGTCTGTCCAGAAGGTATCTAGCCATGTAACATGAAAAATAAAAACATTTATTGAAGAAGATACAAGATACAAGAAACATTGCATGTAGGACAATGACATTTTCATCCCCATCAAAGTAGGCACCTTAGAACCCCACACAGTTCTCCCAGTTGCCATCAGCTGCTCCACCATATTTTCCCAAATCTCATTGATGGTTTGAAATCTCTTCCCTTTCAAAGGTGTTTTTAGTTTTGGAAAAATCCAGAAGTCACATGGTGCCAAATCTGGGTTGTAGGGGGCCTGAGTCACCTGCATGATTTGATATTTCTCCAGAAATGCTGCACAAGACATGATGCATGAGTGGGTGTGTTGTCATGATAAAGCTGCCAATCACCAGTTGCCCATAGCTGTGGCCTTCTGAATCATCTGAATAGTTTCCATGGAGGAATGTTCAAACTTCATGCAAAATCTGATGCAGATTCATTGCTCTACTTGCTCAGTCACTTTGAATGTGACGGCCCCACAGTACACATGCTCTCTCAACGGTGTCTATCGGCCCCTGCTGACTAGCCAGCTAAGTCATCATTGTTTACACATTCACATTCTAGGCGTCTGCCTAGTTACATTGATGTCGCGCAAACTGTTCTCACTATCTTAACAATGACTGGACTTTTTCCAGACAGACCTCATATACATATTATGGATGTTATTGGTATGTAAATACTGTAGATGTTGTATATATAAGAATATTTGTGCATCAAAGTTTTGAAATTGGTCCTTTAAAACTTTTTTGTTTTAAAATAACAGTGATCTTACAAATACATGATAAATATATGACATGCTTTTATTCATAGTTTCTACATTTTAAGGTTTAACTCATTTTATGTAGCTTAAAACCTCTTGCTTAAGTAATTCTGTTGAATCATGTGTTAACACAACAGTGCTTACAGGTGATACATTGTGTATTTCAGTTATCTAGATATGGTAAGTACACATGAAAATGAAACAAAAAATAGATCTGTAAGGTACCTAAAGATCAAAATTTACTACTCTGCTATAATACTCAGTGTTCTGTTGTTTTATCATTATACCTGTATTCACTAAAAAATTTAAACTAAATTTTACAAAATAATTGCAATTTTATGTGACAGCATTGTTAACCTAAATCCTCTTAACTCACACATGTTTTATCCAGTCTTCTACTCAGAATATGTGTATGTTGTAAAGAGGAATTAGAAGCTGATAGACCTGGATTCTACAATAAATCTTTTCTCTGCCAGTCATACACATGTATTCTGTACATTTTTTTCAATCTCTATAGGCCATGTTCCCAAGTTTCTAAAATGAAAGATCCAAGTTTGACCTACCATTTCTACCACCACTCTTCCTACCACCATTCACAGGCCAACACTAGTGACCTTTGGCAGGCCCACTGACCCACTCCCCGCCAGAGGAGGGACACGGGGTCTGCAGCCATTGGCAGGTCTGTGCAGGGGAGGGATGAGGGACCTGCCACTGACAGGCCCGTACTCTGTTGACCTGCCGAGCCTCCTCCCCTCCCCTCTTGCCATCCCTAATGTCCTGGGCCCAGGACTTCCAGTCCTGCCCCAGAGGGATGGTCAAAAGGAGGAGCAGAGTTTCTGCCTGCTACTTTTTTTTTTTTTAATCGATCTGTCCCCCAGAATCCCTTGCAAGCCCCTTTGTCACTCTGGCAACCAGGGCAACACCTGCCTGCGCTACTCAATCCCTCTCCCATTTCTGGGGATGGGGTCCGCTGTTACAGTGTTTCTGTTGAGATATCAGCTGACAGCCTAATGGGAACTCCCTTGTAGGGAACTAAATGCCTTTCTTTTGCTGCCTTTAAGATTTTGTCTTTAACCTTTGCTGTTTTAATTATGATGTGTCTTGGTGTGGGTTTCTTTGGGTTCATCTTGGTTCGGACTCCCTGTGCTTCTTGAATTCGGTGACATTTTCCTTCACCAGGTTAGGGAAGTTTTCTATCATTATTTCTTCAAACAGGTTCTCTATCACTTTGCTCACTTTCTTCTCTTTCTGGTATCCCTGTGATGCTGATGTTGTTACTTTTCATGTTGTCCCAAAGTTCTCTTAAACTATCTTCATACTTTTTAATTCTTTTTTTTTGTTTCTCTGATTAAGTGATTTTTTTCTACCTTGTCTTTCAATTCGCTGATTCAGTCCTCTGCTTCATCCAACCTACTGTTTATTCCGTCTAGTATAATCTTTATTTCAGATGTTATTCTTCATTTCCCACTGGTTATTTTTCATGGTTTCTATGTCCTTTTTAATGCTGTTGAGCATCCTTATAACCATTCCCTTGAACTCTATATATGATAGATTGCTTGCCTCCATTTCATTTAGCTCTTTTTCTGGAGATTCATCCTGTTCTTTCATTTGGGGCCTGTTTCTTTGTCTCCTCGTTTCGGCCATCTGTTTATATTTGTTTCTATGTATTATACAGACCTGCTATGACTTCTAGTCTTTGTGGGGTGGCCTTATGTAGCCTGTGGCCTGTGGGACCCAGTAGTGTGGTCTCCTTGATCTCCTGAGCTGAGTGCTCTAAGAATGTTCCTTGTGTGGGTTTTGTGGGCCCTCTTGTCGTAAATGAGTCTTGACTGCTGTTGGCCTGTTGGTGCATGGAGTCAACCCCCAGACTGGCTGACTGTGAGGCTCATCCCTGACTATGGTGTATGAGCTGCTGTGCAGGTGTAGTCTTGACATAGTTTCATTTGCAAGTCCTTGGTTATAAAACTCCTCTTCAGCCAGTCTTCAGCTGGTCATTCAGGGTGATTGTTCTCCAATTTAGTTTGTATTTCTAATTTGGTTCTGGGAGGAGGTGAACACAAGATCCACCTACTCCATTGCCATCTCAAAATGTCCTCCTGCCTATCTTTTGTTAGGTTTATTTCTAAGTATTTGATGTTGCTATTATAAATTTCTTCATTTAAATTTTATTTTCTGACTATTTGTGGTTAGAATTTCTAAATACACTTGAGTTTTATGTATTGATATTTGGCAACCTTGTTAAATTTACAAGTTTCAATAATTCCATAGTAAATTATCTGCAGTTTCAGGGTCAGCAAATCATGGCCTGTGGCCCAAAGCCAACTGAAGGCCCATTGGTGCAGGTCCCACGAGCTAAGAATTGTCTTACATTTTTATAAATTATTGTAAGAAAAACCCCAAACAAAACAAAAATATAAAAAATATTGTATGGAAACAGGAGATAGCCTACAAAGCCTAAGCATTTGTGATCTTGTCCTTACCAAAAAAAAAAAAAAAAGTTTTCTACTCTTCTAAATTTCATGTTTTATTTCTTTGTTTTTGTTGATTACATTGGCTCAAATCTCCAGTGTAATTTGGAGAGAAATGGCGGTAAGCTGAAATTTTAAGTTTTTTTCCCCCTCTATCTCAAAGGAGAGGCTATTTACACTTTGTCATTAAGTATGATGTTTGTTTAAGATTTTTCTATAGCCTTCTATAATGAGAACAAATAAAAATTCCATTCTTTCCTAATATTCTAAGATATTTAATCAAAAGGAAAAAATCAGACAATGCAGAAATTTAGCTTGCAGTGGTTCTAGGGAGGTGACACAGAGGGAGAGGATCTACAAATTAAATTCTTTTAAGAGGTTTCTTAGGCAGCATCTATTTCCTAATTCTAGCACCATTTCCATATTTTTCACTTTGAGTTGTTTGGCCTATGATTGTTTTCTATCATTCAATATCCTTTCCCTTTGCTAATTAAAATCCTTAGAAGTAGATTTTTCAAATTAAGATGTAAGAACCCTATGACGTTCAGATTCAAAAAATGTGACAAAAGTATATTGACAAGTCTATAACTATTCTACAGTAGAAATAACAAGGAGAAAATATACTTGTTTATTAATTTATTCATGTAAAATTTACTAAACATTTCATTGAGACTTTTGGAAGCCAGCATAGCTATTTTTATATTTTCATGTTATTCTTTGCAGACATTTAGATTACCCAGATAATCTTAAATAGGTTATTTTAGAAAGCTGCTATACTATTAAGTTCTGTTTATTTGGGGTGTGCAAGTTTTTTTGTAATATACTACCTTCTCAATCTTATAAATGTTTTATTGGCAATACGATCTCTAACACTGCTCAAAACACACAAATATTTGAAAGACATTTTGTTTAATTTAGTCCCATTTTAGTGTTCCTTTAAAAATTTTAACTGATGACTCTGGAAATTCAGCCAAAAGTGTTGTATCAAAAACTTGCTTGAATTTATCTAAAAATTCATAATCAGTGCTGAATCTGAACTTGTTTGCCCAAAGCAACACAGTCCCTGGCTGGCAAAGGTACACCATGGTGGCGAGCAGCTTGTCCAGATAGTAATGGTGGTAGACCACATCAGAGGCCAGGACGTAATTATAATAAAAAGTTGACTTGGGGAAGTTTTGTTCCAGGCCTTCTCCCCACACCAGTTCTTTCACTTCTGGCAGATGTGCAGTGCGTTTTAGTGTGTTCTTTAAAAGGTTGTATTGAAGGTTTCCCAGGACATCAGGCAAATCCGTTGCCGTGACTTGAGCACCTAAGAGAGAAAGAGAAGTGTAACAATTACCTGGAAACACTGGGGCATTCAGAGTGGACACACAATATACTCTCAGGAAGAAAGGAAAGCAACAGAACTGGGCTTCTCAACCTTGGCCCTACTAACATACAGGCTGGACATATTTGACATAATTCTACTGGGTAATTCTTTTGGGGGCTTGGGTTGGGGGCTGCCCTGTGCTCTGTAAGATGTTTGGCAGCTTCTCTGGTCCCTGTCCACTAGATGACAGTAGCACCTCCGCACCCAAATTACATTCATCTGAAGGTTTTATTTTTTCTTACATGAAGTATTCAGCAACCAGTTTTCTTTCCGCAAAGGATGATCTATTCTGTATGACTCTTGTCCTTATCTAAATTCATTAAATTAATTCTTAGGCATTTTAAAGCTAGTGACAATGGTTTACAAAATAGGTCACCAAATTAGTTTAAAAAAAACCCAGACCAAACCAAACCATAATACCATGGGCAGAAGTATGACAGATTAGTACCACTTCTTGTCCAGTACCCAGGAACTCACATCCTGCATTTTGGGTATAAATCTGCGTTCACCTTGCATGAACTGATTTGTTTTTCCTTCAAAATGTTAGTTGAAATATTTGCAGCAAAAGGCAGAAGACAACATAACGTAGTTATTTACAGCAGGGATGTGAAAGTCACACTTCCAGAATTTCAACTTCATTGCATGGTAATTGGTGGACCGGGCAAGTTACCCTACCTCTCTAAGATGCAGTAATCTTACCTCTGCAGTAATTCTAGCTCCTGACATTTGGGGGAGATTTAACAAGTGAAATCATGGCCAAGCACCTAAACCACAGCCTGTGATAAACCGCAGCCTATGATAAATCACATTGTTGTTGTCTCAGTAAAGCTCTTATGAAACAAGGTCAGGAATAAACAAACACACAAACCTAAAATACTGGCCACAATGGATACAAGGCCTGGTCCAGCACCAATTTCAAGTATTTTAGCATCTTGAAAATTCAATTCCTCTGTATGTTCCTCCAAGTACTGACATAAAGCCGTAGCCTAGAAAATATTTACAGTTGTCACATGGGCATTGGAACATGGCAAACCAGTAATGACCCCAATCCCTACCCCACGTTAAATATTTTAGGACATGTCAGTAATAGTTTGTTTATGAAAAGTTTCATCAGAATCAAAATATACATTTAATGATGAATTTAGGCCTCTGGAATATAGAAATTTTAATATGCATGAAAGGAAACAGGTTTGTTGAATCGCCTGCATCAGAGGACTCTTCATTAATCTCCAGGAACTGGAAGATCAGCCCATGTCTTGCAAGTCCGGGCAGTGTGGCCTACTGGGCAGCAGCTTCTTGCTCTGGTTTACCCACATCAGGCCGCCATCTGCTTTAAGAATGTTGTATAAATGTCTTCAACACCTCTCCTAGCCCCTAACAAAATTCAATTGCAATAGGACTTTGTCTTCTATTCTGGACAACTGGGCAGTTATTTTTTTAAGTGGTTCCTCTAAGAAACAGACTATCAGAACAGGGCTTTCCAAACTTTGGTGTGTACGCAAATCATCTGGGGGCCTGGTTCAAGACACATGTCCTCACGCAGGAGGGTCCGGGGTGGGTGGGGGTCAGGACTGCATTGCTAACAAGCCCCCAGGTGATGTTAGTGCTCCTGGTCCGCGAGCCACACTTGGAGCAGCAGTAGCAAGGAGATGTTAAAAAAAAAACCCCAAAACATGCAAATAAATTAAGATAGCTTTTTATACAGAAAACCAAATGCCCCTGGAGAAAAAAGAGTAATTATTTGCCATGTGGGGGGTTCCATATTAGGAAGACAGGGTCACTGAGAGCTATCAAGAGGACATGCGCTTTGAGGGGTTCTCAGGAGGGAGAGCCCTGCCCCGGGAGAGGCTGGCCCCATCGGGGTGCTACCCCGAGCCACGGCTTTTCTCAGGAACTGCTACATCTTCTCACATTACGAACATGCCCCTGCCCCTTCTTAGCCCTATTTGTAAGCTCTGAAGAGTGATCTTTTTTACAGAGAGCTGCACTAGAAATCACACAAGAACGGGGGTTTTCCCACTTTACATAAGCCCTTCTTTTACAGTTTTCAAGGGTTTGAGGTCCCAAGAGAGGCCAGGCTTTGGTGTGTGGAAGGCTGAGGCCTTCGTGAGAAGCAACAGCCCAGCGGACAAATCTTTTTTTTTTCATTCCTAATCTCTAACACCCCTGCTATGGTTGTCTATTTGCCAAATATATTATAAGAGAAAGCCATGGAGTAGTTTGGTGGTTTTCACACTTGTTGTTAAAGAAAAAAAAAACAATGAAAAAATTCATAGACACAGACAACAGCATGGTGATTACCAGAGGGAAAGGAGGGTGGGGGCCGTAGCAGCTGGTGTAGAGGCGAGAAATGGTGATGGGAGGAGACTTGACTTGGGGTGGTGAACGCACAATACAGTGTACAGATGATGTCTTACAGAATTGTACACCTGAAATCTATATAGTTTTATTAACCAGTGTTACCCCAATAAGTTCATTAAAAAAAAAAAAAGAAAAATCTTTGTTTGAAAGAAGTCACACTTATAAGCGTAAGGGGTAAAAATGGAGCTTCCTTGGTTGGGAAGAGCGAGAGGGGGTGATGCTCTAAGTATGTGGCCCCCCTTGGCTGTCTCTCCCTCCGCCTGCTCCCCACTTTCACCTTCCACCCGTACCCCAGATCACCCTGGGGGCCCTCAACGGAGCTGCTAACATGGGTGCACACTGCACGTGCAGCCCCGGAGCCCGAGGAGTACAGAGCACAGCCTCGCACGCAGACCTCCCGAAGCAGAATCTGACTTCTAACGACATCCCAGTTTGGTTCAATTCACACCCCTGCTAACGATGAAGCTGTTCCGATCAGAGCCTCTCTCCGCCCGGGCTGAAAGCCTGCGCAGTGGGAAGCGCACCAGAGCTGGCGTCCGAGGCCGCTGGCCCAGCCTCCTGTGCACCGCGCCCCCAGGGCAATAGCTTTACCTAATCATGAACTTTTCTTCATTAATTTAGTAATTAATTAATATTAATAATATGACATTAACAGTTACAGCTAACATGAGCTTGGGTGCTTTGCTTCATTGAACCCGCACAGCCCCCTCGGGAACTGGACATTCACCCGGCCCCGTGCCTTAAACATGGGATTGAAGGCAAACGGAGGCAAAGTGAACATCCATGACCACACAGCCAGGAAACAGTAGGTTTTCAGGCTCAAAACCAGAGTGTTTCCCCCATTTCGGTGCCACCCTCCCAGGGATGTTGCAGGGAGAACAGGAGATGCTTCCTAAACGTTTCTACTGGAATATCCACAGTATGAAAAGGAAATGAGGCCCCGGAGGGTCTACGGGAGTGGCCCCAAGAGACAGGCTCCAATGCCTAAGCTCTCAAGACGTGATTTTTTTTTTCCCCCTTGAAAATTCACATGAAGTTTCCATCCTACTTCCTGATATATTCAAGTTTATATTCATGTAAAGAATAATGTTTCAAGGATATAGCACAGAGGAAAACCAATGCTTATGGGAGAGATGCTATGTATTTTTGGAGCCCAAGTACCCCCGCCCCCCCCCCCGGGGAGGTAGGGCAACAACCTGCCCTCAGCTGGAGAAACACAGGATGTTCAAGTACTTGGCAGCTGTCCAAGGCAACACAGATGTGTAAGAGCATTAGAATGGTCCCCAGAAATCCTGCCAACCCAGTGTGACACTTGTCTCACCCCTGGCCACACCACTGCTCCGTAACTCTCTATTGATTCTTGAATGACAATCTTCTCGCCTGCAAACAGATAATACTCCTGAGTGTAGCTGGCATAATCTGTAGGAACAAATTTCTGCAGGCTCTGAAGAGATGGTTCTATGTTGTCAAGATCTGTGGGGCAGAAAATAAAATAGGTTTCATGATTTGTTGATTCAGTGCAAATACGTACTTAGTATAATCGGTAGGATGGGAACAGATAGAGAACTCTTTCAACAGAGGGCCGGTGCTATCAATGACAATGGCTACAGACTAGCACAAGACAATGATATGGAGTGACAGGGATATAAAATTCAGATATGACGTTTTTATTATATGATGAAATGCCAGAGGATGTCCCGAGTCCTTCCCTCTATTTAGGAGAGGGTGTAAAAAAAGGTGTGGCTCCATCCCCACACTCTGTTTTGACAACAGGAGAAAGCTAAATGGCACAAGGAAAATGTCACAAATGGGCTGCCCGGGTAAGGAAGACCTGGGCAAACAGGGACCTGACTATTTTTAGGTCTTGAAATAATATTCCTACATGTTGGCTAGAGTGTGTTCCTTAGATCCTTCCTACATCGGCTCCTCAAAAGGTACACGTCACCCAAGGATGAGCCAGCCCCACAGTCTTGGGAAGGTTGTCAGATGAGCTCTGACTATTAAGTTACTACTGCTTTAAATACTTCTTTACTCTCATGACCCACTCTGGCAGCTCTCAAATATCATATAAAATGAGAGGAAAAGAGCACCTGCTTGGAGGAGGATGTGAATAGAGGGTGAAGGGTGGTGGGTCTTTAAAGAAACCTACTCAGGAGTCCACCCCTGAGAGGCAGGTAGGACAGGCCTCACTGATTTCCACATGCACTAGGAGCGTTCTCCGCTGCTGGTCTGCAGACCGTAACAGGTTCCCAGGAAGAACGGTACAGAAACTTGGAGTAAGCATTTAGAATTTTTACAATTTGCTCATGTCTGTTGAATCTAATTACATGCTTCTATTTTACATGTCTTTGTATGTACTTTCATTTTGTTTCCCTAGAAATTCATTTTTGTTGTATTTTACCAAAAAAAAAAAAAGTGTTAGTATGTGACAGATTGGAAAAAGGTCTTTGACCATAGAATTCTCGGCTCTAAACAAAAAGACAAGCTTCCAGAGACCAGGGACTGCGCTGAGCTTGCCAGAACCTGCTAATAAAGAGTGGCCAAGTTAGTCCTGAGACGTCGTCCTTCCCTGTGATGTGCCCTGGTTAGGGTTGTGGGGCGGGGGCTGTAGGGGAGGGAAAAAGACCTATGGCCCTCACCTACCTCTATGCGAAGCTACTGAAATCTAACAACACCCACCCAATATTTATGAATGACCAAGGAGGTCCTACCGTCCCTCAGACGGCTGGGAGTCTGACTCTGAATTTGGTTTCAGAGACGATTAGAAGGCAGATGAATAGGCCATTGGTGACCTGTAAATATTTGATAACCAGTGTGGAGCAAGGGGAAGAAGCACCAATTTGTAGGGTTTGACCATGACCATGGTGTAAACACTCCCACCCTGGTGATTTCAAACTACCAGTAAAATGTCACTGGGAAAAGATGCGCAGCAACGCACCATCGTGGAGTATTTCTGCCATCCGGATACACTGCACATCGATGGCCCCGAGAGCATAGCTAATCGTCAAATGTGCTAAAATAATTTGTGATGAGCATATGTATTACCTTAGTTTTTTCATGTACCTTTGCCTTTTATATAACTGATTTAATTGTGTTTATATAACTTAAATTTCAATAATGGCCATGCTTAATAACCAGCTCACAAAATTCCTGAAATTCAGGAGCTAGTACAGACTAGCTGGTGCAAGGAGTTGGTAGAGGGCTGTGCTTTTTCTCAGAGGCTGTCATCAATGGAGTACCTCCCAGGAGCAGCCAGACCGTCAGGTACCCGTGCCAGCTCCCGCAGGCTTCTCCCCCGCCCCCCCCTGCTATGGCCAGACCGGTCATTCTTCCCCTCCTTCCACAGGTCACCAACCAGGGATGCTCAAGTCTGGGGGAAAAGTCAATGGGCTGATTTTGAATGGCTCATTCATTTCACAGTTAATAAGCTAATGTTTATACTTTCTTGCTCAACAGTGTAAAGAAATATGGGCATGTAAATATATTCCCATGAGACCCTTTCGTGTTCTACAAATATATAGAAATTTATATTTATTGTACATTAAATATTTTCATTTATTGTATCTATGCTAGCCTGATAGTTTTAGAGGGACCAGGTTTTAGAGACAAGTAGAGTTGCATTTTTATGTAAACAGTTCAGTAAAAATAAATAACATCCGAGTTTAGTAGAGTTGGAACATAATTATACCACATTAAATTAGTGTAAATGTTACATATGCTATATCTTGGCTTTTATGACATTATCTGTCATGTCTATCATTTACTAACTACTGAGTTCCTGTCCAGAAATGCAACCCTGATGGTTCCATTGTCCTGATGGGAAAATACACTTTGCTTTTCAAGGATCCTGTGCATGACAGAGCTGCCAGGAAAGCGTTTTGGGGAAAAGCAGAAACTAATGTAGATTTCATTTCTCTTTACAAGTTCTTCTTACAAAAATATACAATCCTCAATTTATACACAAGATAAAAAAAATGTGTGGATTTTGATAAGTAAATAATGATGCTTATGCTTGCATGTGTGTTTTCCTACTTAGTTTCATTATACAAACAATTTAGACGGATGTTAACTAGGCTTATTGTAGTGATCATTTCATAATATATCCAAATAAAGAATCATTTTGTCATACGCCTGAAACTAATATAATGTTACATCTCATTTAAAAATCTAGAGTTGAAGGAAATGCAAATTCTTGTGACAGAAGTTAGCGGGACAATGGCATCATCAGGAAAACAACTGAGCAGGTGTCGGGGCGATGAAGGAGGTTACCTCCTGCGGGTCCACAGGCGCCATCTTTCTGGACAGTCTTCTCCTCTGCCTCGAACCAGCCATCCGGGGAGCCCAGTCCTTCCCCCGGGCACCCAGGCCGCTGCTCGGAGCTCAGACACACGTCCATAGCTGGAGCCGGCTGGAGAGCAGAAAGCTGGACAAGACCCGAGCTGCTCAGCCCAGGCTGCCTGAATCTCTCAGACGGCTTTCAACGGCGCAGCTTAGCGCCTTAGCATCTGCTGAGTCGAAAAGAACACCTGCTTTTCAGCTTAGTTCCCTGGATGAGCAAAGCAGCCATTCAAGGAGCTGCTACCCTGGCTGTGCAGAGCAAAGTGGAGGGAGACCATTAAACATGACCGAACCTGTTCTGTGCATGAAGAAAGGCAAAAGCAGAGCGATTGGAGCTGAAGGAACAGTCAGGAAGTTGCCAGGGTGTAAAATGTACATCAGATAACTTTGGGAACTAAATCTTAATAAAGAAAATCTGGTCTAGCACTATGACCATTGGGAGCACCTTGTGGACTGAAATATCACAGGTGAGAAGCCAGGATTTGTAGCAAATGCAGGGCTGCTCCCTTTTCATCTGAGGCTTTATTGCAGGACGGTAGAAAGGGCCCCGTGGGGTGGAGAGCCAAGAACCCGCCTTGCTCCCGCTTTAACGCCTGCAATTCATTCCATCCCCTCCTCACCATGCCCTCATCAGCAAAACAGGGATAACGGTACCTGCCTACCTCCCAGGGCTGTGGTGAGGAACGGGAGAGCAAAGGCGATTAGTGCAGCCGGGGAAAACTCTTCCTGATTCAGAAATGGGGACCTGGCTGCTGGGATCATGGATTGGTGTCAAAATAATGACGCCTGACGTCACTGCAGGACATATGTTGTTGCCAAGCACGCTCTAGGGCTTTACATGGATTGATTCACCTAATCCTCACAACAAACCCTATAAAGTAGATGTTATTATTATGCCTCTTCTCAGATGAGAGAAATTCAGGCACAGATTAATAAGCAGCCCCCGTGGCTAGTGGCAGAGCCAGGAATCAAACCCAAGTCCAGCTACAGACTCTGCCTTCCTTTACGTGGGGCAGGACATGGCCTGAGTCAGCCTTGGCTTTCCTGGTTTAATTCGCCCTGAAATGACTCATAATATTTCCCCATCACAGTGACATTTTCTAGTCTTTTTTACAAAATGCGAATGGTTTTTCTTGTTTGTGTTTACCGTTCTGTATTTTCCACTCACACACAAGTTGCCTGTCATCATATTGTTTCAGCCAACGATGGATAGCAACTGGCCACACCTGCTACACCGGGACTAACTGGCTGACCCAGAAACCAAGAGGAAACCCAGCCATTCAGGCACTGGCCTACTCCAGTGAGCAAAGCACAAGAGCGCCAGCCCCTGCAGCGAATGTAACTCCATCCCACACCTGTAGAAACTGCCATCCCTCGCATTCATGTGCACCAGGATTGCAAACAAATGAGATTGCTCTGAAAGTAAGTTAACATTTTCATTGGCCCTAGAATCAAACAAGCAAACATTTACCCCAAATCCCCAACTCACCAAACCAGCCAAGAGTGCTCTGCTGGTCTGTGCTTTGCAGGAGAAGAGTTTTCTCCTGAAGATCCTTACTTGCTCCTTCCTTTCAACTTTCCCACAACTCCAGGCAGTTTCCCCTGAAAGACAGCAGGCTGGTCGCTTATGAGTCCAGTCCATAGAGCATCTTCGGTGCAGAAGTCTCAGTGCTGTGGCGAGGAGCCTGCATTTGAACCTTAGCTCGGTCATGTACTGTCTTTGTTGAAAATGTAGATAATGATGGCACCTACCTCACATGGTGGTTGTGGGAGTTTAGAGAATTAATCTGTGCAAAGACTCACACTACAACATCTACTCTGACTATCATCTCCGAAGCTAGAGAAGTCATGCCATACAACACTCTGTGCCGGACTCCCTTCCAGCACCACAGAACCCTGGCCATTAAATTTAAGACATTTCTTCCTTTTTGCACGCAAGCCAGGAAAATTCTTTTGCTTATGAAATGAAGTGACTTCCTCCTCCATCATTAAGATTGACATGAGAAATCAATTTTTTTCCCAAAGACAGCTGTGCATTGAAAAAGAACCTAGAACATAACTACAGTAATCAGCCTAGCATTCATTATTAGTTTGACACATCATACAATATATATCATATATTAGTATTTAATAAAGAATTGGGAAGTTTGTAAAATGACTCCTTGTTAGTACGTACCGTCAAAATAATTTTGAACTGTTAGTTTAAATATATCTTTACCTTATGTAGCAGAAGAGATTTGAGATTTCTGTGTACCCTTTAATCTCCAATGTTTTATATAGATCTGCACCTAAAAGGATTAGCATTTTATGAACAAAAGCCAACCAGTGGAAGTCCAAGTTATTTAGGGTAGCATTACCCACCAGTACTCAGACACATTGCTTTGCTAGAATTTCCTCTCTCTCTCTCTCTCTCTCTCTCTCAGTATCTCTCTCTCTCTCTCTCTCTGTCTCTTGCGCTCTCTCTTTCAATCTCTCTCTTAAAATTTCTCTTCACACATAACTCGCATACATGATCCTTGCAACATGAAATAGAATCACCCTCAAAAGGTCCAGAAAATCACTCCAGCAGAGCAGAGAGTGCCCTCTATGGTATCCTGTGATGTCGTTTGACATGTGGACTTACATTTTACTTTTTTAAAAAGTGGGGGTTGGGTAGTTGGGGGTTTTGTGGACCTGCAAACTTGGTGCTCATTAGCCAAACTCCTGTGGCTAAAGGAAGGGACATGCTTGCCGCAGACTCTGTCCTGGACCCTGATTCTGAGGTCCAGAAATAATGTAAGACTCTACCAGGAGGTAGCGAAAACTTGCAAGGAAGACATGAGAACAGTCTCTACATAAGAAGGGATATGAGTAAAGGCTTCGAGTCCCATAGTGGGTAGTTAGTGGGGGCAGCAGTGAGTAGGAAATCAGAAAAATTCTACAAAGGAAAAAGCAAGCCACTGTAATTTATTTAATAGAAACAGGGGCCGTTAACAAGGAAAGAGGATGGGCACTTACTCATTTTGGAAGCCTGGAAGCCCTTAAAATAGAATATAGGGCATGTAATTTAAATCCTCAGGCAAACAGAAATTAAATAATCATTCACATTTATGCGGGACTATATTTAACCATTGAGCCAAATGAATGGTGATTTAGCTTGAGTAGATATAAGAGCGTATTTTTTATTTTTATTTTTACCCAACATTGGCACTTTATGTTTGTTTCCTTTGACTCCAGATGTTTGCGTGGCTATGCTGCGGCCCTGTGACCATCAGGGCTTCCTTCCCACTCCCCTACATGAAGAGAGGTGACCCGGAGTCTTTTTCAAATCTTTCATTCTAGTGCTTTTGTTATGCCCCAAATGGTTCACTTCTACGATCACGTCCTGCACTTCTGTAACTTTTTTCTGCTAGATATAGCAAAAGACGGTCATCATTACAACTTTTTAAGCAACTTTTCAAAATTGATTGCGATGTATAGGAATATACATTTGTACATTTACACACATGCATTCATCCTACAAGTTTTAAAAATGAAGAAAAGGACAAAAAAGGAAATTTTAAAAATCTCCTTAAATCCCACTATCTGGAGAATTAAGCCTGACTAACATTTTCTGGTATCAACTTTTAGGCCTTTTATGGTATAAACTTAGTAAAAAGCTATTTTACTGAAAATTAAACTGGATAGAAACTTGTATCTCTTTGACCTAGAAAGGAATATCCTATTATTTTGAGAGTTTCTTTGTAGTATTTTCTTGCAAACCCATCTTTCAGGTATCTGCTTTAAGAAACAAATCAGAACTCCAGTGCCTGGAACTGGAATAAGTTAGGTCTGAAGTTCCTAAATACTGGACTATGATGGGCCATATTAGAACCACCTAGAAGCTTTAAAATGCATGGACTCTAGGTGCCCAAAAACTCCCATTCAAAGGCCTGAGAAAGAACTTAGAAGTTTGAACTCGCGTCTGACAACTCCCCTGTGTGTCTGCAGCACTTGGCATGTAGTCAACGGCGATCTATAGGGCAGGGCTGCAGGCGTTGTGCTCAGATAGTTGAAGTGCCATCCATGAGGAGGGATTAGGTCTTCTCCATGGCCCTGGAGGGCACGCTGATGAAGTAAGTTTCCAGGAAGCAGAATTGGGCTCAGTAGGAAAGAACTTTCTAACAAGTAGAGCAATGGAACAGTTGATCTCAGGGAGCCTAGCCTAATGGAAAGTGGGCCAGTTTGAAGTCAGAACATAAAAGATTGGATCAAACCTTTATACAAGGTCAGTAAATAAGTTGAGTGTGTGTGTATGTGTGTGTGGGGGGTGGGGTGTGTGTGTGTGTGTGTGTGTGTGTGTGTGTGTGTGTGTGTGATTTTTTCCATCAGTATAGACTTCTGATCTATCACTGGGCGTTTTCCAACTGAACCTGGCTCTCTTGGCCAGTGGTTCTCAACATGGAGGAATCCTCCCCTTTTTCCATGGATATTTGGCAATTTAGAGATGTTTTGGCTCGTCACAGGAGAGGTGGCATGCTATTGGTGTCTAGTGCATAGAGACCAGGGATGCTGCTAAACATTCTATGTTACACGGGACAGCCCCCACAACAAAGAACTGTCTGACCCAAAGTGTCAACAGTGCCAATGTAGAGAAACCTTGGTGTAGGAAATAATCCAAGTTGTCATGCAGCATGAATTGTAATCGGCATGCTGCTTAACCATCTACTAGTGAGGCGATCCCTGCCTCCTCTGTCTCAGTGTCCTTATCTATAAAATGGGTGGGATGGTATTTCCAGAGTGTCTAATACAAGTCAGATTCTGAGCTACATCTTCCCATAGATCCAGCATTGCAGCTCACGCTCCATCTGCTTTCTCCCAGGAGAACACCTAGAGACAGGATTTGAGAGAAATGTTCTATTTGGGGAGTGAGGAAAGGAAAATAATTAAGGGTAAGTGCTGAAGCCAGCAAAGAGCATTCTATGAGGCCAGAGGGAGATAAAAACCTAAACCCACGGGGAAAAGCTGGCAAGCGAGGCAAACCACACACCTCACAGTCATTCCATTCCAGGGTCAGAGGGCTCCCGGGCTGTTTCTATG